TACCTCTGAGCCACAGCAGCTATTTACAGTGAAGACTGATTCCAATCCTGTTCATCCTGACATGGCTACTACTCTGGGGGCTGCACCTTGACTTGGCTGTGTTTCACCTGACTCTGATCAGTCATCAGCAGGGTATATAAACCCAGCCTCGCCCTGTGCTCAGTGTCAAGTCCTTGATCCTGTTTGTTCCAGTGTTTCTGTTTCATCGCTTCGCATTATTGACCCCGGCTTCCTGACTCGTTTATTCTGACTTCTGGCATCCCTTGACTTCGGCTACTCCTCGTTGTTCCTGTCCTCTGGCATCCTTTGACCTCGGCTATCCCTCGACCATCCTGCTGGTTCAGTCCTTGCCTGTCCTGCGTATTGGTACTGCATCCTGCACAGCCCCCGTGCACAGACCCACAGGCCAGGTGAATTCTTACCTGACCACCTCGGCCTGTGGCTATCTGCAAGGGTGAGCATCATATCTGCGCTACAGACTCCCAACTCAGGTAAGACCCTGACAGGTACCCAGTCGGGGTGCCAGGTGATCCGTTACAGTGAGGATTCCTATTATGTAATTCTTTAAAATGCAGGGGAACACTGTGTTTCTCCTGTCCATTTTTGATATTTCATATGTGCTCTTCCCACCTAATATGGGCTGGTGTTGTTGTTCTCCCCACATAATACAGACCGCATTTACAGATAAGCAAATACAGTGGTACCTCGGTTTACAAACGCCTCGGTTAACATAATTTTCGGTTTACAATTGAAAATCCATTGAAAATAATACCTTGGTTTATGAATTTTTTCGCAATACGAAGCAAGTTTCCATAGTTTACATTGTGCCTGGGAGGTATAGAGCGCCGCCCCCGTGCATGCTGGAGTCTGTGGGTAGCACGTGGCGTTGAGTGTGGAGGTGTTTTAGTGGTTTTTGCATCGTTTTGGAGCTATTCTGGAAATTCTTTGCAGTGGTTTTGGGACTTTTTGGGTGCAATTCTCAAGCGGTGGAAAGGTAGTGAGCTGAGCTTCGTCGTTTGCATGCCTTTTACTGTGTGTTCAGTATTGTGGGTTGGTTTCCATGCCAGCTCATTTTGACTTTTTTCTGACCTCCGGAACGGATTAATTGGTTTTCAATGCATTCCTATGGAAGACTATGTTTCGGTTTACGAATATTTCGCAATATGAAACGTCCCGGAGGTCGTATTAAATTCGTAAACCGAGGTACCAATGTATATAACATTTTTTGAGTAACATGTCACTAGAACCCTGATTGTGAAATTTTTTCTTTCCATCTGAGATCCAGAATTCACTAATGTGCTCTTTTTTGCTTGCAGTCCTTCTGCAGGCAAGGCAGGTGCCACATTTAAAAACTATTAACTATTTTTCTCTTAATATTATTTGCTTCTCTAAAAATTTATTGGGGTTTATTTAAGAGGATTTTATTTAAAACGTGTTTTATTTTGTAACTGGAGTTGTTAAAATTGCAAATAAAAACTAATTGATAATTCTGGGTATCATCTCTTTCCTTATATTTAATGAGTTGGTTCCTATCTGAATTCAGAGCTTGATCTTCCCATCTATCTAAATCTTCCTCCTTGTATCCTTTTTTCAAATAAAATAATTTTTTAGTTTTTATTGGTTTAATTTCTGAGTGAGTGGCTCATTTTTATGTATTCATACTACTATAGTGTTTAAACATACTGCACTAGATTTCGGTGTATATTTTTTGTTCTTTGAGGTAAAAGACCACCAGAGACAAGAGGGAAGGAGTCCACCCAAAAAAAGGCATATAGTCTCTAAGCAATATGAATAATGTCCAAAGGGATCTAGTTGGAAAATGCTTGTTTTCTTTCTTTTTTGTATAAATAAAACAGTATTTAGAAGCAGTCTATTTGTGGCTTCAATCAGTCATTACCAGTGTGTCTATTGTTATGCAGGTAACATCCCCAGGACATACTTGAAAACCAGAGTAATCTGAATGTACCTTTCCTGTGTTATTATTATTTATGGTGAAATTACATGTTTTCACGTTGTATTTACCTCTTAATGACACATACAATGCCTACTAGCACATACATGTCTGTATGTGTCTTCACACTACAGAATATTGTGTGCATTGTCCATTCGTTGGTAATCTGAGGTTCAGAACATCAGAAAACTGCTGTGACCCCACTGAGTATCTTATTTGTATTAATTATAATAATCTATATAATAAATAAAGAAAAGAAAGAAAACTGTGTCAATTCTTTCACAAATTCCTTTTTATTACAGCTCTGTATAAATATTAATAAAACAAACCACAAAACTAGTTAGTAATGTAATTTAAGGGTTAATGTAAGCACAAAGACCACTTCAGCGAAACGCTGCACATACAGAATTTAACCTCTCTATAGTGGCCACCTGCGGGAAATACTTTGTCCAGGTAAGATATCAGTCTTTTTCTCACTATCCTCACTTTGTAGATAAAATTCAGTGCACACAGCATACTTACCTGACCTAGCATCTAACTCAATCTGCTGCACAATGTTTTTTCTTACCTTACCTTTACCAATAAATGTTCGTGACTCTATATACACTTCTATGTAATGACATGTTGTCCAATTGCAAATTTATTTTTCAGTGTATATTCCATCTCTTTTGCTGTACCCATGCTCAACAAAAAATAAAGAATTATAAACATTTTTTTTTTTTTTTTTTAAATGGCAGGTCCATTATTTTTACGCAAATAGCTTACAAGAAATTCCCAGATCAACTTGCGGCTTTTTTAGCTCCCAGTTACTACCTCTGAGGATATTTGAAGGAGCAGGCGTACGTAAACAAGTTACGTACACTTGAGCAGCTTAAGGAGAAAATCCATACAGATATTCAAATGCTTTGAGTCTCAAATAGTAAGTAATGTTATTACAATGCAAATCGAAAGAGCCCGATTTTGAAATGGTCAACCAAATCTCCATATATTAAACATTCATTGTTTGTTGGTTCATTAATTAAAAAGCTATTGCCTCCTTAAAGCCTACTCTTAGTTTTTGCCCACCCTGTCTAATGTCTAACAGGAGAATAAAAACCTTACATGCAAGTTCATCTTTAAACTATAATTAATGTTCTGTAATTTTAATTAAAGAAACACCACGTTATTATTAAACTGTTAATAGAAAATTTTAGACCTAGGTAGTTAAGTACTGACTATAGTGTAATAAAATTAAACTGTATTACAAAAGTAATGTGTATATTATAATAAATGATATATGGCTTGTTAATGTAGCAGACAGGGGACTCAGTAATTGAACAGTTAACATGCCCAGTACTTGTATAATGACCAGCCAGCAACATTTCTGTCTGTCCTTACATTACCCGTAGCACTGCAGTGGGAGCGCTGCGTTCGGGAGTCTATATATTTCTCTAAACACTCACAAGAGATATTGCTACTTGTCTTTTGCAAATTATTTTAGAATCTTAATTCCTTAAAGGAAAGCTTAAAGGAAAAACACTGAATTTCTAAATTACCGATAAATATATTGATTTGCAAAGACAGCGAACAATATTACCCCTTATTTATTTAATGTCAGTACTGTACATGTAAATGTTATTATAGCTACATCTGACATGGATGCATTCACACAAGTTAAATAAAAGACTTGCATCTATATGAAGATAGAATGGGGGACAGGGTAAAGAAAGACTTGCTGGCAAGTGACATATGTAGAAAGAATGGGGAACAAGGGAGACCCAAGGAGTAGAGAGAGCTCGGCTCACAAGCTTACAATCTAGATGGAATGGGGGACAGAGGGACACAAAGTACAGAGAGAGCTTGGCTTACAAGCTTACAATCTAAAAGGAATGTGGGAAAAGGGGACACAAAGTTTAGAGAGAGCTTGGTTCAAAAGCTTACAATCTAAAAGGAATGTGGGACAGGGGGACACAAAGTATAGAGGGAGGTTGTCTCACTAGCCCTCTGCATAGAGTGCAGCCAAAAGAGTGAACAGAAATTTAACCCTCATTTACCAGCATGACAAACTCTTGTCGGACCTTGATATACTGTGTTTGGTACCTCATTTGAATTAAATAATTTAGGGTTACCCCTGATTAACCCTGGGATTATGCATACATAGTGTCCAGAGGGTGACAGCCCATTGCAGAAATGACCAGACACAGGCCATATGTGACCATAGATGTATAGAGAAGTGGTTATGGTAGGGTGTGAAACTGCACTCTGTCTCTTTAAGTAGTATGTAGCTGGGTGTAACTCAGACAGTCTAAGTACATGTATATAGAACACATTTAGATTCCAAAATAATTTATATTAAAAATAATACACCATAGAAACCTGTGTAAATTGTTGAGGACGGCTATTTGTTAATTCCTGTGATACAATTAAAAAGGAAAGGTTAGTATTCTTCAATATTCCCTCTTACATTACAGGTTTCTACGTATGTGGCATGGGAGCCCTAACATTCATTTCTTTAAAAAATAACATAAAGAGTTTTCTGCTCAACTAATTGCCTTGATATTGCAATCTCTTATTTTATGTGTGATTGTTTGTAACTTGATACAGCCAGCAAATTAAAGACAACACATTCAGAGACATTAACTTGGCAAGTGCACCAAGCCGCACTTCTAGATACACAGTCTAGTGAACTACACAAGAACAAACAACAGGAATAGAAATAAGTGAATGACACACAGTATGCTGCACTCGGCCCCACTATCCATACATAGCAGAAGGAACAGAAAGTAATGAGAAAGGCTGGGAAGCTGCAGGGGAGAGGTGCCTTTATTTGGCTTGTCTAAAAATAGACCAAAACAAGGAGAGGAAAAGGCCAAGTGTGGAGCTTATGGGACTACTAGTCAATGAAGCTCAGCTGCTTCCAGCTGGCAGGTTATTTTTGCTTCGGTTTACTAAATATGGTAAGAGAGGGGATGGCATGAAAGGAGGACACTTACTGAACAGAGCATGTCTCGAATACATAGTTGGGTATATAAGCACTTGGAAGGTGGCTTCCACTTTTGACCAAAGGTTTGTGGAATATTTTTTTCATTTACCCCAATATTTATTTCATTTTTTTTTTAGTTCTGCACCCTTATTCTTCCGGTTTTCCCTTAATTTGGACATTAAACTTAGTTTACATCTTCTTTTACCCAGTTGTCCTATTCCGCCCAGTGCAGAGGGAAGGAGCAGGGATTGCTGCAGATGTAGACGGCATGCAGGAAGTGCAGGTTAGAAATGTAGGAAGTACTCTATATGTGCACTATTGACAAGGGTGGTGGTTACTTAACCCTATATGTGCAAGAAGTAGAGCAACACAATGCATTGTGAACCCCCTGCAATTACACATTTACCTTTACAACCTATGAAGCTATGATAGGACAGTATTCAATAAGGATATCTAAGGACATGATTACAGAGACAGAAACTCTGGATCCAGAAAAAGAGTGAAAACTATTGGTGTTTGGCCGCATTTTTATTACCTTTTGACCAGATTATTTCCTGCTCATCTTTTCAAGGCAACGTATTAAAATACACAGCATATATCAATGGCTGTACCCGCGGGACCCTGTTCCATGGCAGTGTCCTTCCTGCAAGGACCTTGTAAGTGAAGCGTCCCATCTTGCTGGACCCTCCATCCCATGGGGCTGTTTGGAGGTGCCTGCTAGGAGTCGGGAGGGCAGAGGAGAGGGTGGATGATGCTTATACCATCACTGGGCCTGTTCTGTCTCTCTTCTCCTGCATTAGAGATTGGCTCTGAGAGAGGGGAAGGCGGTTGCAGCATAATATTACCTTGTGATTCTATGACCCTCCTCTATGCATCCCTAACTCTCAAAAGCTGATTCAGCTTTCAGCTCGTGCTCTGGTGACTCCGCTGCTGCAACCGACTCTTCTATCAGGGTATGTCTCTCTCCCCTCACACACCCTCCTTTTTCTATGCTGTTCTCTTTTAGTTAGCTTGCTTTAAATATCATAGAATATTACCTGCTCCATTCAAACTTGCCTGATGACTTTGAATGAGCATCTTTTAGAGGTTGGATGTTTGAGCGCTGCATGCAAAGGCTTATTTGGGTGATTGTGCAGAAAGATGCTTCTCAATGCAGAATTCTGCCGAGCCAGCAATTGAAGTGGATGCATAAAGGCTGAAATCTTACAAGTTTGGCGTGTAATCATTTGGTGTGGTTATCATGTTCTGTGCTAGTGGAGGCCTGTGTTGTGAGATGCTCCAGGGAAGAGAAAGGGTTAGCACCAGCCGTGTGAAGCTACATTAAGACAGGACTGTGTACATGAATTGAACGTTTTTATTAGCACACAGCATCACTGTAAGGAAATGCATGCAGACACAGTAACACGCTACATGGTTCAGTGTTCAATGACTTTAAAATTAAATAACATTTAAAGCATCTTTTTCTCGTTGCCCTTGGGTAGATTTTGTATGTTATAATCTAAATAACTTTGTATAAGTCCATGTCCACAAGCAATATGCAGAGGGTTTAACAAGAAGAATATACTGCATGATATGACAGGAGTACTTTCTGATTAATATAATACACCACATGGTGATTACAAGACCTGCAGAGTGGAAAAACTTCTACACAGAGGATTATAATCCTATACATATCTGTATACGCAGAAATACTACATAGACAAAAATACATCTGTGCAGGCATGCACACCATATAGAATCTGTATATAAAAATGCACACACACAATTTGCATCAAGTCACACTATGTGCACCCTTTACAACACACACAAAGAAGATACATATATCAATAATATATCTGTATATATGTCCATCTAGAGAAACACACAGTATAGCTACATAGACTCAGTAATCTATCTATCTATCTATTCTATTCTATTTCCATCTAGAGAAACACACAGTAACATAGACTCAGTAATCTATCTATCTATTTATCTATATCTATCTAGATAAACACACTGTATACACATAGACTCAGTAATCTATCTATCTCTATCTAGATAAACACACAGTATACACATAGACTCAGTAATCTATCTATCTATATCCATCTAGATAAACACACAGTATACACATAGACTCAGTAATCTATCTATCTATATCCATCTAGATAAACACACAGTATACACATAGACTCAGTAATCTATCTATTTATCTATATCTATCTAGATAAACACACCGTATACACATAGACTCAGTAATCTATCTATCTATATCCATCTAGATAAACACACAGTATAGAGACATAGACTCAACAATTACTGTAAACAAATACATATTATTATTAGTTACAGACATAATTGCTATAGAAGTAAATGGACCTAGTTTCATTTATAATTTACATATAAGCAATATAGGACTTCAAACTTGGGATGTATTCACTAAACCAGGAATTGTGGGCTACTGACCATGAAACTGCAAGTGTTAGGCCTTAATAAGCAAAGATGGAAAAATAGCTGAAGTTTATTTTTAAATTTTGCAATCATGAGCTAAAAAAGTGGAATTCCCTTTCATTTTCAGTTTAGAGAAAAAACATTTGCTTGGAATATTCCAGAAACTTTCACTGTGCTTTCTGCAGAGCGACACACCATATAAAACTGGTTAAGACTAGCTACCAATTCCATTGCAGAGGCATTTGGGGCCTGGTGTGTGAATGCTGTGTACACGTTATTCATGCTAAACCTGGTATATTCAGATAATATAATAGCTGGCTGACAGATAGGGACACATTTGTTGATACTGATAAAGGTGGTTTCACCAAGCCACAGAACTGCTTAAAACGTAAACCGAAACAGGTACCACCTTGGTCATCCAAATAATACCACAAGCATCCCCCCATGCACACACACCATGACCACTAATGGGCAGTTATATGACAAATGGCAAAGAAGCAACACAAATCGCAAGCTATGATATGGAAATTCGGAATTTACAGGGAAATAAAAGCAGTATCATTTCCCAACAAAACTAAAAGAACAAACAATTAGAGTATGAAAAGGAACATTTAGTGGTATGTTTGCAAAGACTCTCATTACTAATATACCGCAGAATGTGAACTGGAAGGACAACATGGGGAGGGAGAACTAATAGCTTAAACGGTCCGTTTGAAAAATTAGGCGTTGCAAAGTGTTGTGCGTTTGATGAATACAACTTCCAGCTATCCACGTTACAAAAGCTCGACAAATAGTATTTACTTAACAAATGCTGTTAGCTACAATGAAACTTGTTGTCAGGTTTATTCTAGCTGCCGTAATGAAGCTTTTGTGAAAAGTTTTGCGAAATGCCACAAGAATCCACAGACCATGAATCCTATCACACACAGCAAATCACTGATAACCAGGAGATGACTTTTCTTGGCAGCCAGTGCAGAGTACAAGAATAATCATTTTTTTAATCATTTGATAGAGAAAAACCATATTTATAAAAGTAATCTGAATGTATCTGCATACTGCCAAGTAAACTGTAAAAATTTATATTGCCATTACGTGTGACAAAGACAGCAGTCCATGAGTTTACATAAATAAAGCAGATTCATAAATCTACAGTAATGTAAAATATCATATTATTTGTCAGGTAACACAACATTCTAACAATAATTAAAATAAATAAATAAACAAAACAACATAACACAATTCTATGTTTGTATATGTCTGCTCAATAAACCGAGTACAGATTTAAAAGCACATGGTGAAAAAGTATGTTTCCTTACAGGACTGTGTCTTGCAATCTAAAAAGGACAGTTTCAACATTTATATTAATTTGAATACATTTTGCTTTATATAAAATCCTAAAAAAAGTCCAGACTCTTTTGATGTTACACAAGCACTTGTATAGTCCTCTCAGAAGGTTTGCTATATATTTTTGGGATTTCCTTTTTATTCCTTACAGATTGTTTGAGTTGTTTTCACTATATCCAACCAAAGAAGGCCGCCAGGCATATACTATCTGAAATGGTGTAATTGTACCCAAATCAGTCTTATGAAAATACACATGCTAGTTTTAATGGCACAATTTCAATTTTAAACATGAGATATTTATTTTCCATCTAGGTAGCTCATCTCACATTTAAAAAAAAAAAAAAAAACTGATAAAACCACAGATTTCTTTACAACCAAATGTGTACACAAGGAACATGTTTCCTTTTACACAGGTATCAGAAAACAGAGACATCAGCCTTAATTATTAGGCAGAGTATATTCACACAGAAATATGTTGGACCTCACAGGGACAGGACTTTATCAAATGACGATTTCTCAGAGAGCACACAGCTGTAGTCCTTTTGGAAGTCAAAGGGAAACTTCAGGAAGCTAAAAAGAATTCAATGGTATCTTCCCAAGTCATTATAAAATGAATCAAACTATTGACTTAATATTGACTAATGAAATACACTGAAAATAGATTAATATGTTAATCAAATTACAGAATATATATTATAAAAATTAATATTACATGGCGCCTATAAATTTACTTAAAACATGGCGCCTATAAATTTACTCAACTAAAAATTCATAAAAAAAAAAAGAAAAGAAAAAAAAACCCTGCAAAAATCATTAAGAGTAAGAGAGCCATTTGTGGTTTCCCTGTAAATTGCTATTGATCTGCGTGGATGGGGGATAGGAGGAGGGTCCAGGCAGGTGAGTGGACCAGCTGAATATACCATTCCAGCACTGCTGAGTGAGCAGGAAATGGCACAGTGACCTCTCGCTTTGCCAGATGCCTAAATCCAACTCATAATAGTCGTGTATTCCGTGTGATCATCATTTTCAGTAGTGGAACTCTCAGTACATTGTTAGGGGAGCTTTAAAGCTCAGGCAAGCTGCAAAGGAATGAGCGAACAGAAAGAGAGACAGGGGAGAAACAAAGAGAGACAGATTGGTGTTAAGTACTACAAGAGACAGACAGACACAGACCAGCGTGAGTGGCCTGTAACCTGCTTCTCTACCTGCTGCCCTCATTTCTCTTTTATTTCAGATGTCTGACTAAGGTTATAAATCTGCCCAATGCAGGGAAACCCGGGACACATTCAATGCCAGCAGAGGGCACAGCCTTTGTCTGTAGTGAAATGCACGTTGCGTATAAACCCTGCCTGCAGCACAGTCTCCACTCCGGACGCCAGAGGTAAGAATTCTTTTTTTATTCACCGATCGTCCTGTCTTTGCTTGTCCCCATGTGTTTTCTGCCAGAGGAACCCTGCATGTTAGATTTAGGTGCCAAGAAGCTTTACAATCAGTTATTTACAATGTGTAAGGAAAGGGAACTAGCTAGTATTTCAGTGTCTTCCTTTTATTGATAAATAAGTTGTAAATTATTTACGTTTATATTATTCACCTACATTACCATGTTTCATGACCTACTAGACAAACATTTTGTGAGGTTTTTTTTAAACATGGTGTGATGTGATTGGTTATATTGGCTATAGGTAGAAGCATTAGAAGGTATATGCTAAGTATGTGACATTAACCTGCAGTGATTTGTTCTTAGCACAGACCAAGGCAGTTTAATTACTAAACAAAGAAATTAAAACCAAATTTGTAAAACAAAGGCCATAATAAAAGACATGATAAAAAATTTGAAATTTGCTAGCTTGCTATTTTTCCCTCAATTTGACTAATTTGGTTTTCAGTTCACTAAATAAATATATGTGTTCTCCCTGACTTACTATACTGCTGCCGAGTATGGTGGTCTTTTATAAGTAAACTTTAACTAATTACTAACATGAGGCATGCTCCTTGCAGACAGTGAATAGTCTGACGTTTATGATAATAATTGTAATTGGTCTTTTTTTAAACAAATTTGGATTTGGGGTTTTAAACCGAGATGTATCTTTGAGGTGGAAGATTAGAAACAGAAGTTTAATTATGAGAAGTGAATATTAAACATGACAATATAGGAAATTATTTTGTAAAATTGCTCATGTGCCAGCTTTATATATTTAATAGATTTATGGTGTGATTTATGTACATTATATGTGCATCGCGTGAAATCATCAATGTAGATCTGGATATGTGTGTGAATACAATGATGTGTTCCATTACAATGTATACAGACTTCATACTATATACTCTGCCCTTACAATTTACCTATCATTTACACAATGAAACACCAAATGATACATATCTTCTAACACAGTCATTCACATAATTGTAAACTCATATTGTATACACAAAACCCATCTAATGAATCTACACATACGCTATATAAACAGAATGCTTATAATGAATCAACACAGTACACATACACTGTAGACAAATTACACAAACAGAACACTTACAATTAATCTATAAAATACACATACACTGTAAACACATTACACAAACAGAACACTTATAATGAATCTACACAGTACACACACGCTGTAATACAGTATATAAACAGAATGCGTATAATGAATCTACACAGTACACACACACTGTAATACAGTATATAAACAGAATGCTTATAATGAATCTACACAGTACATATACACTTTAAACTAATTCTATAAAACAGAACCCTTATAATGAATCTATACAGTACATACACTAAACAAATTATATAAAACAGAACCTTTATAATTCATCTATACAATACACATACACTATAAACACACTATATAAACAGAACACTTCTAATGAATCTATACTGTACACATACACCGTAACCACACTATATAAAACAGAATGCTTATAATGTATCTATATATCCTTCTTATAATTTATCTATAAAGCACAGGTAATGTAAACAGACTGTATATAATATAACTACATCCCTTCTAATGTAAACACACATATATCTATATCCCTTCTTATAATGTAAACACTCAGTATATACTTTAACTATATCCCTTCTAATAATGTAAGCAGACAGTATATAATATAAATATATATTTCTTGTTATAATGTAAAAACGACATATATAATAAAAATATATCCCTTCTTATAATGTAAACACACAGCATATAATGTAAATATATCCCCTCTTATAATGTAAACACACATTATATAATATAAATATACCCCTTTTTATAATGTAAACACTCAGTATATAATATAACTATATCCCTTCTTATAATGTAAACAGACTGTATATAATATAATTATATCCCTTCTTATAATGTAAACACTCAGTATATAATATAACTATATCCCTTCTTATAATGTAAACAGACTGTATATAATATAATTATATCCCTTCTTATAATGTAAACACGCAGCATATAATATAAATATATCCGTTTTTATAATGTAAACACTCAGTATATAATATATATATATATATATAAAATCCTTCTTATAATGTAAAGAGACTGTTTATAATACAACTATATCCCTTCTTATAATGTAAACACACAGTATATAAACATATCTCTTTTTATAATGTAAACACTCAGTATATAATATATATATATATATCCCTTCTTATAATGTAAACACTCAGAATATACTTTAACTATATCCCTTCTAATAATGTAAGCAGACAGTATATAATATAAATATATACCGGTATTTCTTCTTATAATGTAAAAACGACATATATAATAAAAATATATCCCTTCTTATAATGTAAACACACAGCATATAATGTAAATATATCCCCTCTTATAATGTAAACACACATTATTTAATATAAATATACCCATTCTTATAATGTAAACACTCAGTATATAATATAATTATATCCCTTCTTATAATGTAAACAGACAGTATATAATATAATTATATCCCTTCTTATAATGTAAACACGCAGCATATAATATAAATATATCCGTTTTTATAATGTAAACACTCAGTATATAATATATATATATATATATATATATATATATAATCCTTCTTATAATGTAAAGAGACTGTTTATAATACAACTATATCCCTTCTTATAATGTAAACACACAGTATATAAACATATCTCTTTTTATAATGTAAACACTCAGTATATAATATATATATATATATATATATATATTTATATCCCTTCTTATAATGTAAACAGACTGTTTATAATATAACTATATCCCTCCCATCTTATAATGTAAACAAAATGTTTATGATATAACTATATCCTTCCTTACAATGTGAACACACAGCATATAATATAAATATATCCCATCTTATAATGTAAACAAAATGTTTATGATATAACTATATCCTTCCTTACAATGTGAACACACAGCATATAATATAAATATATCCCATCTTATAATGTAAACAAAATGTTTATGATATAACTATATCCTTCCTTACAATGTGAACACACAGCATATAATATAAATATATCCCTTATTATAATGTAAACAGACTGTATATAATGTAACTATATCCCTTCTTATAATGTAAACACACTGTTTATAATATAACTATATACTTTCTTACAATGTAAACACATAGCAGAATATAAATATATCCCTTCTGATAATGTAAACACACTGTTTATAATATAACTATATCCCTTCTTATAATGTAAACACACTGTTTATAATATATAATTATATCCCTTCTTATAATGTAAACAGACTGTATATAATATAACTGTATCCCTTCTTATAATGTAAACACACTGTTTATAATATAAATATATCTCTTCTTATAATGTAAACACACTGTTTATAATATAACTATATCCCTTCTTATAATGTAAACACACTGTTTATAATATATAATTATATCCCTTCTTATAATGTAAACAGACTGTATATAATATAAAAATATAACTGTCTCCCTTCTTATAATGTAAACAGACTGTATATAACTATATCCCTTCTTATAATGTAAACACACATCATATAATGTAAATATATGTATACAGCACATTGTAATGTATCTATAGACTCTACATTCTCTAATCTGCTCTCTGGATCTGATCTCTGTTTGGGTAACATACTTCTTTATAAATCCATATGGAACTGACAGATTATGGAATGTAAAGAAGTATGTATCTCAGGCTGGGACCCGCGGCTCCGAGATATGTTGGACTTCACCTCATAATAATCCGAACTCCTAGTAACGCTCAATCCCTGTGGCCCCTTGCATGCTGTGGGCCTCAGGATTTTTTTAGAGTTTGTATTAACTAATATTTTCCAGCACATTGTTTGAGGATTCATTTTCTGCATGAATCCAATGTCCATATTTCAATATATACAGCACAATACACCTCACTGCATCTAAAGCAATACATGTAAGGGAACGCATATTAAAGAAAGTAAGGAACATCTAAAGTTCAGTAATGTCCAGTCATCAGATATCTCCAGTAACAGAACACAAAGTGAGATTGTCTTCTGGCTGGTGGTTATACCAAGTTTACCAGCCCTCACAGTAATGCCATAGACAATGCACACAGTATGGCCAGATTAAATCACTGCACTCCTGCACAATGTATTTGTTCATAATCCAGTTCTATTAAAGGTACAGCCTTACCTCCTGTGCACTGATATAGCCTGACACACAAGGCACCCATCATTTTATAACCCCATAGGCTACAACAGATAAAAAAAGTCAGTCATACATCTCTGTGCCAGATTAGTAGAAAATAATTTGCACAAACATGTGCTAAAAAAATGCCCAGGTTAAAATAGAAAGATTGAAACTAGAAAAAGCCCTGAGCAAGCAGCCTGGGAGAGGAGTCAATTGATGATCTTGTACTTGTGTGTATTGTTGTACCACTTTGACTGTGTCAGCAGGTGGAACTGCTTGTCAGGACATTAAATATTCAGAGAGCTGACTGCGGCACAGCCAGTGAGAGAGCAAACTGTCCATGCTTTCATTCCTAAAGTCCAGAGGCCTCGACACATTGCTTTCATGACTGCTCCCTTTTCCCACCAGATAAAAACTGACATCAGTCCAGCTGTCGCTTGCAATGCCTGCTTTTCTGCTTTATTTGAAGTGGTTGTTAAGCATCTAAATGTAAATAACAATTGTTATTAATATTATTATTTATAAAGCACCAACAGATTCCGCAGCGCTGTACAATGCGTGGACTGAGAGACACATAGTTGAAATCAGACAAGATGGACGCACAGGAACAGAGGGGTTGAGGGCTGCTCTATCAGTATACATGTTAGAGCTAGTGAGGTATTGTAACCGAGTAAACTTGCAGAAGCCAGACACAGAGAGATGGATGCAGGTTTTCAGGAAGTAAGAGGTCTTTATTAACATACCAAAGATGAACTAACGTTCCAAAACAGGTCTGAGGGCCGAACACATGGAGTACATGCTTTTTATAGAACTATAACTCCTCCCATTAATAGCTCCACCCGCACATACCCTTAACCAATCAGTGGACAGGATTTGGATTTCCTCATATGGGCAGACCACATGGCTCATCCGAAACAAAGGAGAAAGGAGTGTGATTTCAGTTCCTGCACATGCTCAGTACATTGATGACAGTATCTTAGCTACGTGTAACTAACTAACTGATACAACATACACATATGCCACGTGGAAATCTCGGCCTACTAAATTTATATCTCACGAAATTCCATCACATTCCCCCTTTTGATGCCTCTGATACAAAATTATTCCAGATGCATTACCAATCATAGTTTACCAACACCTCTCAAGTAGCCATTGGACCAGAGCAGACCTTGTAAGCATCACAAACTCCTTCAGCATTCCTCATCCTGAGTATGTTCTCTTTGGGCTAGGGATTCATATCTACAGACAGCCATTACATGAGCAGCTGTCCTTCTTTCTATAGTACTCTCTATGATACTACGTATAGATCTGACCACTAATGGCAGGGCAGAAAGAGACATAAGAATATAATAAATACTACTCCTACTACTAACGCCTAAATCCCTCCAAGCTGCTCATACCAACTTCCAAATCAACTACTAGGATTATACCTATTCCAGACCTGAGTAGGTACATGCGTCAGTTTAACCATGTGGCTTGTAAGTTCAGCCACTGCCCGCCCTTCATCATCTATGTGCAAACAACAGTTGCTGAGATTAAACTTTCCGCATACACCTCCCTCTACTGCTAATAGGTAGTCCAGAGTTAATCTATTTTGATAGATAGCTGATCTCATCCAAGTATTTTGCTTAGCTAGAAGATTAAGTGCTTGAGCTGTCTCATTAGTGATAATCTCAACCACCGCCTGTAGTCTTGTAATACGGTTGAGCATATATATTGGGGTTCTATATCCATAGGTACCATATTCTGCCCAAGTAGCAGGTCCATAATAATTAATAATGCGTTGGGGAGGCCACTCATCATCTTCCCAGCTACCTATATTTAAGGATACTCGCTTCTTTTTATGATTTACATCATAAACGTTAACTCCCAAGGTCTCTCCTGTCTCAATTGGCAACAGGAAGAAGGATGGTTTGAGCATACTTAATACACATGCCCCTTCCCAATCTTGTGGTAACTCTGAATATGCTTTCTTACCACAGATCCAATATAAATTCGCTGGGGCTTTCCAATTGGATGTAGCAGATAAGTCAAACCATACCTCTTTTAGATGGGTGTAATTGGCAAACGGATTAGTAGGCTCTGAGACATTTGAGGCTGACCACCAAGTAGTATGTTTTAGTATCGGCATTATAGGCTTTCTGTCCTAGACATATTAACTCGCCAATAGGTGTGGTATACAATGGCCCTTTCCTGGCTAAACATACATGACCTATAATGGAGGTTTTTAACCGCCACTCTGATTTACCTCTAGTACTTACTTGATGATCAGACTGAGAAAGTATTTGTTGTTCATCTGTCTCAGAACCAGGGTACCATACTTCCTTAGCCACCCATGGCCACTGGTCTCCAATATTAGTACCTCCACATACAAAGCAATTAGTTACATTACGACTACTTAAGGCAATACTCTCAGCCAAATCAATAAATAGGTTCTTAACACTATGGGGAATTTTATCCTCAACACTCATCTCCTCATAGAAGGAATGAAAAACCTGATGAGTTTGAGTTGCTATCGTCTCAGTTTCAAGTCCTACATATATTATGGTCCCTAGATTTCCAAACTTATCAATAAAATGTTGTGGATTAGAGATGGTCATATGGACAGGATTACATTCCATAGACTTGCAGTGTGGTTTTCTGGGCAACCTTTGGATAATCATATCTTGATCCACTGTTTTTCCCTAGGTCACCCACGCTACACAAGACCAATATGGACAAAATTAAAATTCCTATTTGGGCAATCAGGATCAGTAGATCTCTTACTGGGACACATATTTATCATTAAACCCTTAAGTTCGTTCTCATTTAAGATTACCACATACATTGCAAGGTTTTCCACTACCCGAGATCGCCTTACATGCATCAAATAGTAGAATGCCCGTAGAATGTATGGTATTTATCACAGTCATATTTATCAAAGTCCCCTGGGAGTTACTGTTCCAAATTACCAACCAAATTGTACGGGGTTGGAATTGGGGATCAAAACATTTAGACTCTCCTGATATTGGTTTGCACACACTGTAATCTGTATCTAAATATCTACACTTAGATACAGATCCCCTACACTCATACTGTGAGTGCCAAATGAGAGTTTGTGATATTTGGTTACCTGTTTTTGTAGTCTTAATGCAGCTAACACAACTCTGTCCTCACCTTTATCTGTCACGTCCTCACCTTTACCTTCCTGAAAAATCACAAAAATGCCTAAATACATAATATAACATATTATTTCAGAAGTCCTCATTTCTACTCTTCGACCGTGCAATGGCACCTCAGCGATTGTGAGGGCTGCAAGGATTGTCGTTCTTCTGATCCTCACTCTTCTTCACAGAGGTCCCTTCGAGACACTCTGGCTATGACATGTAGGTAGGTGGTCAGGCTTTATTATGGCCGTCAAAACACCTACTTGCTGATATCTGTTGTTACTTTCAACTAAGATGTCCTAATATCTCCTCGTATTATTTCTCACTCCGACTGAGCTACCCACTTTAACCGGATCTTGCAAGGATTTTCAGAATCTGGAATAGCTTGCTAAGAATCTGCCGCTGGTTTAACCCTAGAATGATGAATCCACTGAGTCACTTCTGCCACCTATATAGCTGTTGGAGTAGATAAAAGAACAACATAAGGACCCCTCCACTTTGGACCTAATGGAACAATATTCCATTCTTTTATCCACACTTGATCTCCCGGTTGATAGGAATGAACAGGTGGATATATGTTCACAGGTAACCTATCTTGCACCCATTTCTGTACTTCCTCCATAGTTTTATCCAACTCTACAACCTGCTGCCAAGTAATTCCTTCACCCAACTGATTCAAGTCCCCCCTTAGATAACGGAGTATGGGAGGTGGACGCCCATACACGATTTCAAAGGGAGACAGACCCATTCTGGTAGGAGTACTACGTATCCGCAACAGAGCTATTGGCAAAAGGACATTCCACTTGAGCTGAGTTTCCTGATACATTTTAGCCAATTGGGTTTTTATTGTTCTGTTCATCCTTTCCACCTTTCCAGAACTCTGAGGTCTATATGAAGTTTCCACGTAATACCAAGCACATGAGTCAATTGTTGTAAACACTGATGGATAAAGGCTGGACCATTGTCTGATCCGATAGAACACGGAAGTCCATATCTGGGTATAACTTCTCGCAACAGAAATCGTACAACTTCTGCTGCCTTTTCTGTATGAGTTGGACAAGCTTCTACCAAACCTGAGTAGGTACACACAGCTACCAACAAGTAACGATATCCCCCAGATTTAGGCATTACAGTGTAGTCTATTTGCAAATCTGACATTGGGAGTCCTCCCATATATTGAACTCCAGGGGGTTTGACAGGGCCTTGTCTTGCATTGTTTAGAGCACACAAAACACATCTTCGAACAATAGCTTGAGTAAGATTGGACAATCTTGGTGTGTAGAAATGTTCCATTTAGGCAATTCTTCCACAATCTGTTTCCAACAATCAATATACGGAAACTGATCATAGAATTCAGGCCTACTAGATACAACTGCGTGCACACGTTGCACTAGAGTTAAATCAAGACTACCACGTGGAGGCCATGCGGTCACCAAGATAGGCCACTCTCTACTACATAATGTAGTCAAACACTTTGGGGATAATTTCACCCCCAAATCACAAACTTTATATCCCTTTGCAAAGTTTTTCAACATACATGACAAGGGATCAACAATCTTTGAGTCAGACGCACCCATACAGGCAACGGAGCGTCTAATACAAAGAAACACAATACCCCAAACACACTTCCAACGATCACACTTGTTTCCCTGGCAACAGCACCACGTGGCACAGTTGCTAGGCCAAACACACACAAAAACACGCAGAGAATTCTCGTACATACAGTGATATCACAACGTCTCACTCACAAAGCTATACCAAACACTAGATACTTATCTCTGTAACTATAAATGAAACCCTACAATTATCCACATTATAAATCAACTTTTAACTAACCGACTATATCACATTCTAGTAACCTCATCTTTACAATCAATGGTTATGGTACGGTTAGCAAGTGGTTATAACACAGTTTTAAAGTCACAGATCAGTTAGTAACAGTTATGGTGTTACACATATAACATAAGACAACAGTTTTTAGTAATTTTTACATCACGTCAGTAGTTATATTACATGTTAATGGTTATAATACTGTGCGCTATTATACAGTATACACACAATTTACACTCCCACTAGACGGCAGAGCGCAAGCTTTCTTGCGACATACAATTCACCAATTCACCAACTACAGTATATTTAACAACATTTACAATAATCCCAACTATTCTAATTGGGCAGCACCTCGAGAACTATCAAACTATTTACACCAGGATTCGGTTAGTGTATGCTGCCCAAGCACCACATATAGCGAACGAGTGGGCGGAATTACAACAGTACCCATTTAGTCTATCTACTCTATCAATAGTCTAGTGGCTGAATTTACAACCGGGCACACTTAGCCAAGATAGGTTGAGAACTAGCAGACAGAATGTACACCAAAATCTGCTTAGTCTCGCTGGCCTCCCCGACCTAGCGACCGAAATTTACACTTAGAAACGCTAGTCAAGACAGGACACCGGTGTCCAGCATAAACTATTTACACCAAGATTTAGCCTGACCCAAACCACCTGTATTAGACGGGCTGACTACAAAGCATCTAATTTCCAGATAAGCGGTGCACATTCGCTTCTTCCCTCCGGAGGGAGGGGGCAATCCAATAACCGGTTCCAAATATAAAACCCCTTGTGGACCTACCGCTCTAACGTTATCAATCTAACCTCTTCGTTCCTGAACCTGGGCTCACACTCATCGACGGGGCACCCCGGTACTTACTACGTAAAGGTCGATGATCTCCTGGGCGAAGCAGCCCAGTGGTGCCGAGATGAAGGGATGTCCACGCAGAAGTTCAGGGGTGCTGCCGTAGAGAACGTTGGTAAAAAGTTTACCGTCTCAAATCTCTGCGCCAGCTTCCATGCGATGAGGTTCCCGAACCCAATGCACCAAAGATGTAACCGAGTAAACTTGCAGAAGCCAGACACAGAGAGATGGATGCAGGTTTTCAGGAAGTAAGAGGTCTTTATTAACATACTGATCGGGCCTCAGATGAACTAACGTTCCAAAACAGGTCTGAGGGCCAAACACATGGAGTACATGCTTTTTATAGAACTATAACTCCTCCCATTAATAGCTCCAACCGCACATACCCTTAACCAATCAGTGGACAGGATTTGGATTCCCTCATATGGGCAGACCACATGGCTCATCCGAAACAAAGGAGAAAGGAGTGTGATGTCAGTTCCTGCATTCCTGCACATGCTCAGTACATTGATGACAGTATCTTAGCTACGCGTAACTAACTAACTGATACAACATACACATATGCCACGTGGAAATCTCGGCCTACTAAATTTAAATTTCACCGAAATTCCATCACAGTATAGTGACACAAAAGCTAAGGGTAAAGTAGAAAACTATGGTTGCTAGAATAGTGATATTAATAGATCAAGCTAAATGACAGGCACTATATATTGTATTTATTCACTATTTTTTTTCTTTTAGAGTTACAGGTATCTGAAATTTACAGGATTTGTGTCATATACATTTTATGCAAATGATTGCTGTGCATCCCATTTTCCTGGCTAATCATGGCAGCATATACAAATGGGTTAGCGCTGCCCTTTACCACCGATAGGACAGTAAAGCAGAAGGGTCTTTAAAAGGAGGATATAGTCCTAAGATATCAAGTCCTTTTCCTGTCCTACAGCTCTTAGGGTGGATGCCTTTAGCTCCCTATTTTTCTTTGATGAGAGTTGTGATATTTAATATTTCCCTTTTTTTTTTAGTTATCTTTAAGATCGAGTTCACTGCAGGCTTGATTTCCCCTCGGTTCCAGTGTTTTTCCCTGGGTTCCTGTTGTCCTGTGACCTCCTCTGGCATCTAGTTGTAAGCCTGCTCCCAGTTCTCAGCCAGTAAATTTGCGCTGAGCATTGTGAAAACCCATGCATGTGCAGTCTTGTGCAATTATAACTCAGACTGCAATTAAGCAAATTGAGGGATTTGCAAGTCACTGCAGTCATCTTAAGGGTGGACGAATGCCAAACATTCTGAAAATGTAGTTTGACAACCAGCACTAAGTTATTTAAGGGCCAACGAGCATTAGTTAGTGCTTTTGGCACCAAATTTGATTGGATTCGTTATTTACAGTGTTGCTTCTTACGAAGGGGATTCTTGGTATACTTGAATAACATTTTCCACAGGTTGGAACCATACATTGCTTTTTTCTTATATTATACTTCATTTTAGATATATTTGATTTATACATTTCTTTTTTTGCTAGTCCTTTATGGCTTCTCCTCCTAAAGCCCATTTACCACTTTCTGCATTTAAGCTAATAAGGGTTTATTTGATCACTATTTTTATATTGTGCATAGAGTCCCTCCTGCGATTATTCTTGAATTACTTTCTAGTAATGAAGAAAGGACAGTATCATCTACCCCAAGGAAACAAAGCGAGAAGTCCTTGTTCAGGCTGCAAAGGGAAAGCTGTTGAAGGAAAGCAGCTATGTATAGACTGTCTTCAAAAAGTAGTTGCTTCATCATCCTCTGCATGTGGCAACTGAATTCTTTGCAGAGGCATCCCTATATAATAATTTTTTTAAATCCCTGTATTATGACTTTTTCAGAAGCAGCTAGGAGAACTTTATGGCTGCATTACTGGGACGCTTAGTCTTTCTCCAAATCAAATGTATGCACCATTGCCTTTGAAGTGAAGCTTCTCTTCAGAAGGTCCCTAGAAGACTCTATCAAAAGGTGGTTGAGGGGCACAAGGTCTTTTTTACCCCAGTATAAGAGAACTAAAAAACAGAAACCTCATGGTCGGAGAAAAGATCACCAAGAGACCAACATTTCCAGGTTAGTTGGGGATACTAGCCTGGTAGGGAATACAGTAGAGGCATACTTTGGCAAGGTGGTCAGCCAACCTCGTCACGTTCCAGTCATTTCGTCTTTCAGGGAAGAAACTTCAGATAGATGTAATTTAATTTCGCCCTTCAGGGAAGAACTTAGATCTGGGGGAAGCCTCAGATAGATTGAATAGCCACTTCTTGGAACAATCAGATCAGGGCATTTTTTCCTGGAAAATATTACCCTAGAGTTCAAGTTCAGGATGCTCTGACCCAACTTTTGAATTTCAGACTGGCTTACATAGTCTCTCCAATACCACTGATTTAGTATTTAGTTTCTTCAGTTCTCAAGAAAAATGGAAAGAGTAGGTGGAAGTCATTGCAATCCTTCCCTTCTCACCACCTTGTCTCTGGTTCCCAGTGGCAAGACGGATGAGTGAAGAACCTCAAAGGAACTTCAAATCCGTCCAGACCTATTGAGTCAAGGACCCCTTCTACACCCAGATCCGCATTCATTGGGATTGATGGTCTGGAGGTTGAGCGGGAGTCTCTAGTTGAAAATGGTATTGCAGACACTGTCATTAAGACTCTCTTACAATCTCGTAAGTACTCAATTTCCTCTACTTACTACAAGATATATCTGTTGGTCCCAGGAACAGAATGTTGGAATTAATCCACCAGCCCTGTCTTCTTTTCAGTTTCTTCCAAGCAGGCCTGGAGAAGGATCTTAGCTGTAATACCCTGAAAGTTCATGTCTCTGAGCTTTCCACAATGACAGGGATCTGTTGGACATTGGAGGCATTGGTGATGTGTTTTATGAAAACAGTGATTATGATCCAGCATCCAGTAAAGGTGTTTATGCCGGCATTGGACCTATCTTTGGTCTTACAAGCCCTGATTAGGTTAACACCCGTCTATGTCTATCCTTTCTCTTCAGCGGAGGAGACTTGGCATACTTTGGATGTGGTTAGAATGCTTTCCCTCTACACTGAGAAGACCAGTTCATTCCATAAGCCTTCTATACTTTTGTGTTCCGATTTGGCCACAGAATGGGTGAAACAGCCTATACCTCCACATTATGATAGTGGGTGGTAACAGCTATTTCAAAGGCATACCAGTGTCAATCCCTCCCAGTACGTAAAGGTATCAGGATATTCTACTCATGCAGTGTTAGCATATTGAGCTTCTGTGGCAAATGCCTAGCCTGACAGCATTTGTAAGGCTGGCACTTGGACTTCATTGAACACATTTCTTGAAGCAGTACAATAAAGTCGCCAATGAGGCGCAATTCGGACACCAGGTCCTTCACTTATGACTTATGACCATTGCATAGACTTATATTTCAATAAACTTGTTTTGCAGCTATATATGTCTTCATAACCCCCCCACCCCGCAGTGTAAAACGAGCACTGTGCATCTCACTATATATGTATTACTATAGAATGAGTACTGTGCATCCCACTATATAGGTACTACTATAGAATGAGTACTGTGCATCCCTTTATATGGATGTTAATATAGAATGATTTTCAGTTATCTAGATATCCTAGTATTACTATAGAATGAATACCGTGTATCCAATTTTATGGGTATTGTTGTAGAATGAGTGTAACGGATCACCTGCGACCCCGACTGGGTACCTCCGTTGATGGATGCTCCTAGCGCTTCTTGAGGATTCCAAGCACTCTAGCTGACACCACAACCACCGCAGGCCAAAATTCTCTTCCTTCAGAGCAAAGCAGAACGAGCTCTTAAAAGAGCTTAGGAGTGATTATAACAAGGGAATATGCAGAGCATAGCAATCCCTTGTAGCATATTCCCCCAATAAGAGACAGGACTCCAAATTGAGGGTGAAGTAGAACTGTCTAAAACTTTATTTTACTTGGGACTAGCCCATATGGTCATTACATTAACATTGCTGTGAAAACTCAATAAAATTACAAACAGTCAAATCATAGCAGGCAACATACAGTGACTTATTATAACATAATTACATATTTATAAATGGGTGGGGAAGACCATAATTAACACAAAATGTCTCTCCTGCATGCAGAATTAGCGATATGCAAATCTATCCAAATATGCAAATTACCAGTCTTGCTATTCAGGTCTTACATGGCAGGAGGCTGGCAATCAGTCTTCTCCAATGCGAGGCTGGTTCCGCCACAATGAGTACTGTGTATCCCATTACAATGGTATTACTATAGAATGAGTACTGTGCATCCTCTTATAAAGGTATTACTATAGATGAGGACTGTGCCTCCCACTATATGGGGATTACTAAAGAATGATTACCGTGTATCTGGATATCCTAGCATTACTAGAAATGATTATCATGTATATGGATATCCTGTGTATCTGGATATCCTAGCATTACTAGAAATGATTACCGTGTATACGGATATCCCATGTATCTGGATATCCTACAATAGAATAACTATAGTGTATATGGATATCATGGTATTTCTATAAAATAAGTACTGTGTACCTGGATACCCTAGTATTATTGTAGAATGATTAGTGTGTATCTGGATATCCTAATATTACTATAGGATGAGTACTGTGTATCTTGATATTTGGGTATCACTAAAGAATGAGTACTGTGTATCTTGATATTCGGGTATTACTATAGAATGAGTACTGTGTTTCTTGATATCTTAGTATCTCTATAAAATGAGCACTGTGTATCTGGATATCCTAGTATTACAGTAGAATGATTAGTGTGTATCTGGATATCTTAGTATTACTATAGCATGAGTACTGTGTTTCTGGATATCTGGGTATTACTATAGAATGAGTACTGTGCATTCCAAAATATTGTTATAATTATTGTCCAACCCCTTATTTTGGTGTTTGATTACTGCAAGTCATCTGGGTATCCCATCTGTCCAACCCCTTATTTTGGTGTTTGATTACTGCAAGATATCTGGGTATTAATAGAAAATTATTACTGTGTAAGTTATTGGTGTATTATTTGTATAGAACTAGTGGCTCATGTCTGGACATTGCAATAATGATGCAGAATGAGAAAATAACAATGTAGACGGACAGTTGCAAAATGCAAGGATTATATCATGGTATAGATTTATTTGTGTAGAATGCAAAGCTTGTGTCCTGATATAGAATTACCGGTGTATAATGCGAGGTTTGTATTCTGATATAGATTTAATGGTGTAGAATATAAGGCTTGTATCGTGATACAGATTTGTTGGTGTAAAAGGTGAGGTTTGTATCCCGATATAGATTTATTGGTGTAAAATGCAAAGCTTGTATCTTGAGATAGATTTATTGGTGTAGATAATGAGTCTTAAATCCTGATATACATTTATTGGTGTAAAATGCGAGGCTTGTATCCTGATATAGATTTAGTAGTGTAGAATATGAGTCTTGTATCCTGATATACATTTATTGGTATAGAATGCAAGTCTTGTATCCTGATAAAGATTTATTGGTGTAAAATGCAACGCTTGTATCCTGATATAGATTTATTGGTGCAAAATTCGAGACTTGTTGTATCCTGATATATATTTATTGATGTAAAAGGTAAGGTTTGTATCCGGATATAGATTTATTGGTGTAAAATGCAAAGCTTGAATCCTGATATAGATTTATTGGTGTAAAATGCGAGGTTTGTATCCTGATATAGAGTTATTGGTGTAAAATGCAAGTTATATATCCTGATATAGAGTTATTGGTGTAAAAGACGTGGCTTGTATTCTTAAATAGATTTATTGGTGTAAACTGCGAGGTTTGTATCCTGATATAGATTTATTGGTGTAAAATGCGAGGCTTGTATCGTGATATAGATTTATTGGTGTAAAATGCGAGGTTTGTATCCTGATATAGAGTTACTGGTGTAAAATGCGAGGTTTGTATCCTGATATAGATTTATTGGTGTAAAATGCAAGTTATATATCCTGATATAGATGTATTGGTGTAGAATGCAAGGTTTGAATCCTGATATAGATTTATTGGTGTAAAATGCGAGGTTTGTATCCTGATATAGATGTATTGGTGTAGAATGCAAGGTTTGAATCCTCATATAGATTTATTGGTGTAAAATGCGAGGTTTGTATCCTGATATAGATTTAGTGGTGTAAAATGCAAGGTTTGTATCATGATATAGAGTTACTGGTGTAAAATGCGAGGTTTGTATCCAGATATAGATTTATTGGTGTAAAATGCGAGGTTTGTATCCTGATATAGATTTATTGGTGTAAAATGCAAGGTTTGTATCCTGATATAGATTTCTTGGTGTAAAATGCAAGGTTTGTATCCTGATATAGAGTTACTGGTGTAAAATGCGAGGTTTGTATCCTGATATAGATTTATTGGTGTAAAATGCGAGGTTTGTATCCTGATATAGATTTATTGGTGTAAAATGCAAGGTTTGTATCCTGATATAGATTTCTTGGTGTAAAATGCAAGGTTTGTATCCTGATATAGAGTTATTGGTGTAAAATGCGAGGCTTGTATCCTGATATAGATTTATTGGTGTAGAATATGAGTCTTGTATCCTGATATAGAGTTATTGGTGTAAAATGCGAGGTTTGTATCCTGATATAGATTTATTGGTGTAAAATGCGAGGCTTGTATCCTGACATAGACTTATTGGTGTAGAATACGAGTCTTGTATCCTTATATAGAGTTACTGGTGTAAAATGTGAGGCTTGTATCCTGATATAGATTTATTGGTGTAGAATATGAGTCTTGTATGCTGATATAGAGTTATTGATGTAAAATGCGAGGCTTCTATCCTTATATAGATGTTCTGGTGTATATTAGAAGCATGTGTTCTAGTATTGAAAGATGTGTCAGGATACTAATAGTTTGGTGTGGAATAGAGGGTGATTGTGAACATTTCAGACTGCAGAACTGCTTCCTGCATTAATAGCCAGCTTGGTCACTAACAGCAATAATGCAGAAAACATAGTGCAAGAGCAGACCCTTGCTGTGTTTTTATTACCCTGCATTCATGTACAAACACTGCTACGAAAACATGAAGCACAGGAGGGACACGTCAGTGATACTTGATTAATCACGTGTAGTTGCTAGAGCTCAGTCTTTGCCGATGGCAGGGATCCAGGACATATATCTTGCATTGAAGGTACCGCTCTATTGAGTCAATGCAAACTGCTTATAGTGATTTCAAAGTTGGCTAATGTCCAATATGTACATTTTATCCATATCCCTATACCCCAGCCTCGGAACTGTCTTAGAAAGTGACAACCTTTTCTACGGATTTTGCTGCAGATTTTCTCCAAGAAACAAGCAGTTCCAAGTTCAGAATATTACCCAAGCACATATTTTATTTTGGAAAAACTACCAGGACATATTTTTTGTCCACTGTACCAAGCTGCACAATATGCTGGAGGATTATGAATAAAATAAAATAATGATAAAGTGTATGAATGGTACAATTATTGAGCGTAGCCTTGAAATATGAACTTATTAAAAACAACTCCCCAATTAAAACGGAGATATAGATTGGCTCGCCGACACTGGCATCGAAGGTAAAATTCTGTGACGGGGCTTCTCATGGTTATTATGCTTTATATTACGCTAACCGCAAATAATTTCCACTCAGAAACTGTTCTGCTAACAGAAAACAAATAACAGACAGAAAATTGCGTGATACATTTTTAAGGCACTTCCATTTAATTTGTAAAGCTGGTTTTGTTTAGGTATTCCAGTATAATGTGCGGTCAGTGGTTGGCAGTGTGAGCATAGGAAAACGCAGGCCTCTGTCCACGGAACAGGCAGAAACGCACAGGGCAAGGGATGTTACGATATCCTACTGCTGCTAGTGAAACGCTTCCTCTTGTGTTGAATGTAAACCACGAGTGCGTCACTTTAGCAAACTTTTTTATTGTTTTGCACTACATATACTATTTCATTATGTTGGTTAGCAGCACGTAAAAACCCTTTTGACTTAAATATTCTGTGAATGCTGCTTACTGCTGGGAGCACTTTTCACATATTACCTACAGAAATTCTAGCTGTTCGTAAAATATGGCCAATCTACTGTCAGGAAGAATGAGACATTCACTGATCTGGAGACTACAAGATCAGTCATAAAGAAATTCTGTATACTGTTGGAAGGTAAATTAAAAGTGCTGACTGGCCTACATACAATTCATTTATTTCCCAATACCAGTAATCCTTTAGAACAAGCGGCCAATGCAGAAAAGTGTGCCTGCAAAAAATCTAAGTTATTACTTTCAACTACTAAGGGATGGGTGATACAGAGTAAGGGGTGCCTTCGTGAATTGCTTGATTTCAGAATAAATTGAAAGTGGGTTATTTCTACATCATCCAATCAAAAATTAAAGAAAAAAATAAAGTGCTGTTGCTGAGTCAGCCTTTGAAACGCGCACGTCCGATTGCAGGAGAATCCAGCTCAGCACTGCAGTGCAGACTGTGAAAAGAAGGCCAGTGGACCAAGGCTTTCGGGTAAAACTGCAGTGCATTCTATAAGATGGCATTCTGACACTGGGATTCAATTACGAAAATGTCAGTGCAGTCTAAAAAAACCGACAGTCCAAAGCTGGAGTCTAAAGGCAAACACTGCAGCGCTCTATGTAAGCTGACAGCCCAAGGGTGGAGTCTAAATGCTAAAACTGCAGCACTCTCTGTAAGCTGACAATCCAAGGATGGAGTCTAAATGCTAAAACTGCAGCACTCTCTGTAAGATGACAACCCAAGGCTGGAGTCTAAAGGCTAGCACTGCAGTGCTCTCTGTAAGCTGACAGCCTAAGGCTGAAGTCCCCTGGCTAACACTGCAGCACTCTCTGTAAGCTGACAGCCCAGGGCTGGGGTTTAAAGGCTAACACTGCAGCGCTCTCTGTAAGCTGACAGACCAAGGATGGGATCCACTAGCTAGCACTGCAGCACTCTCTGTATACTGACAGCCCAAGGCTGGGGTCTAAAGGCTAGCACTGCAGTGCTCTCTGTAAGCTGACAGCCTGGTTAGCACTGCAGCGCTCTCTGTAAGCTGACAGCCCAAGGCTGTGGTGTAAAGGCTAATACTGCAGCACTCTCTGTAAGCTGACAGCCCAAGGATGGGGTCCACTGGCTAGCATGGCAACTCTCTGTAAGCTGACAGCCCAAGGATGGAGTCTAAAGGCTAGCACTGCAGCCCTCTTTGTAAGCTGACAGCCCAAGGATGGAATCTAAATGCTAAAACTGCAGCACTCTCTGTATACTGACAGCCCAAGGCTGGGGTCTAAAGGTTAGCACTGCAGTGCTCTCTGTAAGCTGACAGCCCAAGGATGGGGTCCACTGGTTAGCACTGCAGCACTCTCTGTATACTGACAGCCCAAGGTTAGCACTGCAGCACTCTTTGTAAGCTGACAGCCCAAGGATGGAATCTAAATGCTAAAACTGCAGCATTCTCTGTATACTGACAGCCCAAGGATGGGGTCCACTGGTTAGCACTGCAGCACTCTCTGTATACTGACAGCCCAAGGTTAGCACTGCAGCACTCTTTGTAAGCTGACAGCCCAAGGATGGAATCTAAATGCTAAAACTGCAGCATTCTCTGTATACTGACAGCCCAAGGCTGGGGTCTAAAAGTTAGCACTGCAGTGCTCTCTGTAAGCTGACAGCCCAAGGATGGGGTCCACTGGTTAGCACTGCAGCGCTCTCTGTAAGCTGACAGCCCAAGGCTGGAGTCTAAAGGCTAGCATTGCAGCACTCTCTGTATACTGACAGCCCAAGGCTGGGGTCTAAAGGTTAGCACTGCAGTGCTCTCTGTAAGCTGATAGACCAAGGATGGGGTCCACTAGCTAGCACTGCAGTGCTCTCTGTAAGAGGGTAGGCCAAACTGGTGTACACTGCTAATAAAGCAGTGCACTCTGTAAGGAAGGAAGCCAAAGCAAGGGGTTCACTGGATGTATGTGGGCAGCAGGGGTAATCCTATAGTCTAAGATGGCTGGTGTCTAATGGCCCCAGATGTTACGTCCCAGGGAGGTTAATGGCATGGCAACTCTCTGTAAGCTGACAGCCCAAGGATGGAGTCTAAAGGCTAGCACTGCAGCCCTCTTTGTAAGCTGACAGCCCAAGGATGGAATCTAAATGCTAAAACTGCAGCACTCTCTGTATACTGACAGCCCAAGGCTGGGGTCTAAAGGTTAGCACTGCAGTGCTCTCTGTAAGCTGACAGCCCAAGGATGGGGTCCACTGGTTAGCACTGCAGCACTCTCTGTATACTGACAGCCCAAGGTTAGCACCGCAGCACTCTTTGTAAGCTGACAGCCCAAGGATGGAATCTAAATGCTAAAACTGCAGCATTCTCTGTATACTGACAGCCCAAGGCTGGGGTCTAAAAGTTAGCACTGCAGTGCTCTCTGTAAGCTGACAGCCCAAGGATGGGGTCTAAAGGCTAGCATTGCAGCACTCTCTGTATACTGACAGCCCAAGGCTGGGGTCTAAAGGTTAGCACTGCAGTGCTCTCTGTAAGCTGATAGACCAAGGATGGGGTCCACTAGCTAGCACTGCAGTGCTCTCTGTAAGAGGGTAGGCCAAACTGGTGTACACTACTAATAAAGCAGTGCACTCTGTAAGGAAGGAAGCCAAAGCAAGGGGTTCACTGGATGTATGTGGGCAGCAGGGGTAATCCTATAGTCTAAGATGGCTGGTGTCTAATGGCCCCAGATGTTACGTCCCAGGGAGGTTAATGGCATGGCAACTCTCTGTAAGCTGACAGCCCAAGGATGGAGTCTAAAGGCTAGCACTGCAGCCCTCTTTGTAAGCTGACAGCCCAAGGATGGAATCTAAATGCTAAAACTGCAGCACTCTCTGTATACTGACAGCCCAAGGCTGGGGTCTAAAGGTTAGCACTGCAGTGCTCTCTGTAAGCTGACAGCCCAAGGATGGGGTCCACTGGTTAGCACTGCAGCACTCTCTGTATACTGACAGCCCAAGGTTAGCACCGCAGCACTCTTTGTAAGCTGACAGCCCAAGGATGGAATCTAAATGCTAAAACTGCAGCATTCTCTGTATACTGACAGCCCAAGGCTGGGGTCTAAAAGTTAGCACTGCAGTGCTCTCTGTAAGCTGACAGCCCAAGGATGGGGTCCACTGGTTAGCACTGCAGCGCTCTCTGTAAGCTGACAGCCCAAGGCTGGAGTCTAAAGGCTAGCATTGCAGCACTCTCTGTATACTGACAGCCCAAGGCTGGGGTCTAAAGGTTAGCACTGCAGTGCTCTCTGTAAGCTGATAGACCAAGGATGGGGTCCACTAGCTAGCACTGCAGTGCTCTCTGTAAGAGGGTAGGCCAAACTGGTGTACACTGCTAATAAAGCAGTGCACTCTGTAAGGAAGGAAGCCAAAGCAAGGGGTTCACTGGATGTATGTGGGCAGCAGGGGTAATCCTATAGTCTAAGATGGCTGGTGTCTAATGGCCCCAGATGTTACGTCCCAGGGAGGTTCTGAGTTCAGTCCAGGTATGTACTGGATCTACCAAGCCTCAGATGGGAGGTCCTGGGGAGATTCTTAGCTCAGTCCTGGTATGTACTGGAATTATTGAGCACAGACTGTAGGTCCAGGGGAGGTTCTGAGCTCAGTCCTGGAATGTACTGGAGTTACTGAGCCCAAAGGGTATGTCCCGGGAGGTTCTGATTTTAGTCCTAGAATCTACTGGGGTTACTGAACCTAGAAAGTAAGTCCAGAAGAGTATTTGAGTTCGGTCCTTGTATGTGCTGGAGGTACTGTGCCCAGATGATAAGTCCTGGGGGTTCTGAAAAAAATACCTAACTGTGATTCTTAACCATGGATAAAACAGCCAAATAGTGAGCCTTTTAGTCAGATTATTATTATTACAGTTTTTTTAACGACAAAAAAATAAATCTTAAAGGAACACTATAGTCACCAGAGCCACTGTAGCTTAACATGGTTCTGGTGTCTATAGCCTGTTCAGAGAAAAGGCAGTGTTTTTTGCCTAGTAACTCCTGTAGTGACAGTCACTCCAACGGCTACTAAAGTGTGTCCTTTCTCAGTGCTGCACCTTCATTCAGCGTCTCCACGTCTCCGCAGCGTCTCTACGCTCTGCACAATGTTCCCCATAGAGATGCATTGATTTAATGCATCTCTCTGAGGAGATGCTGATTGGTACCGCATTTTGCCATGGATGCTCAATAGCTTCCCAATGCTTTCCTCTAGGGAAGCATTGTATTGACTGAGATCATCAAGATGAATCATCTCAGCTATGGAGGCATGCCAACTGCGGCAAGACGGGCTCGCCGTTGGAAAAAAGGTAAGTAAAAACACAATTTCCATGCGATTGGAGGGGAGCCGGTGACCTGAACATACACATTCACTGACAGACAGACACACACAAACAGACACACACATAGACAGACACACACTGACCGACATATGTACACACACACTTACTGACAAATACACAATTCTCTCACATACTCACAAAGATTCATAAATACACACAGACAAATACAGACATACACATATGACAGATATACACACACACACACAGAAAAAAACATTTTAGCCACCCTCCTGTTTCCTACCTTGGAGGTGCAGGCGGGTGGCTTTCCTGCGTCCAGTGCTAGACAGCAGCTGGATACAGTGGTGATGGAAGCAGGTAATGCAAGTGGGATGCCACTGGTCCAGACTACCCCTCCTGTCTCTGTATGTCTTAGTATGTGCTCTCTGTGTGCCAGGAGAAAGTGAAGGGATATGAACTACTTCCTCCTGGAGCTGAACCAGCGCTGGGGAATAAACGGCAGCTCTGTGCAATGTGCTTGCGGTTGGACGTCTCTGCGGAATGGGGCAGGCAGCAAGCAGACACGTCTTTACCTGGTGCCCTGTCTCCTTGTCATTCCCCTGCGCGCCTCAGCACCATGAGGAAGCAGTTACAGTTCCCTTTAATTCCTCACTAGGACCAAAACTATTTTAGTCGACATGGCAACCAGACGCCTGGGATTTGTCAAGCTCTGTTTTAAGTAACACTTTACAGTTAGTAAATAAAAATGCAAACAGATGCTAATAAGCGAATGTGAGCTTACAGTATAGGAGGAAGTGGGACATAAGAAAAATAACATCACCATGTCTATGTTACCTGCATAAACCACTGTGTGGTTGAACTGCAGAAAGAGAGAGAGTGAAACTACTAGTAATGTGAGAAAAGAAGCATGATGGGTCTGTAGGGGCTTCTGAGAACTTGAGCAAAGATAAAGAGGCATATAAAGAGAGCTATAATTTTGCTGCCCTATAGAAGTCTTATAGATAAGTATTTGTAATCCTATGACACGGGAATAAAGGGCTGTGCCTATGAAATACACTGAACAAAATTATAAACGCAACACTTTTGTTTTTGCCCCCATTTTTCATGAGCTGAACTCAAAGATCTAAGACATTTTCCGTGTACACAAAAGGCCTATTTTTCTCCAATATTGTTCAAATATCTGCACTTCTCCTTTGGCAAGAAAATCTATCCACTTCACAGGTGTGGCATATCAAGATGCTGATTAGACAGCATGATTATTGCAAAGGTGTGCCTTAGGCTGGCCACAATAAAAGACCACTCTAAAATGTGCAGTTTTACTGTATTGAAGAGGTCGGGGGGAGTCTGAAAACCAGTCAGTATCTGGTGTGACCACCATTTGCTTCAAGCAGTGCAACACATTTCCTTCGCATAGAGTGGATCAGGTTGTTGATTGTGGCCTGTGGAATGTTGGTCCACTCCTCTTTAATGGCTGTGCGAAGTTGCAAGATATTGGCAGGACCTGGAACAGGCTGTTGTATACGCCGATCCAGAGCATCCCAAACATGCTCAGAGTGACATGTCCGGTGAGTATGCTGGCCATGCAAGAACTGGTTTCAAGAGCAAACATTTCAGAATGTTTTCAGCTTTCATGAATTGTGTACAGATCCTTGCAACATGGGGCTGTGCATTATCATGCTGCAACATGAGATGATGGTCGTGGATGAATGGCACAACAATGGGCCTCAGGATCTCGACACGGTATCTCATGTAGATCGGCTTCCCTGAGATGGTTTCTGACAGTTTGTGCAGAAATTCTTTGGTTACGCAAACCGATTGTTGCAGTAGCTGTGCGGGTGGCTGGTCTCAGACGATCTTGAAGGTGAAGATGCTGGATGTGGAGGTCCTGGGCTGGTGTGGTTACACGTGGTCTGCGGTTATGAGGCCGGTTGGATGTACTGCCAAATTCTCTGAAATGCCTTTGGAGACGGCTTATGGTAGAGAAATGAACATTCAATTCGCAGGAAATAGCTCTGGTGGACATTCCTGCAGTCAGCATGCCAATTGCACGCTCCCTCAAAACTTGCGACATCTGTTGCATTGTGCTGTGTGATAAAACATTTGCAATAATCATGCTGTCTAATCAGCATCTTGATATGCCACACCTGTGAGGTGGATGGATTATCTCAGCAAAGGAGAAGTGCTCACTAACACAGATCTAGACAGATATGTGGACAATATTGGAGAGAAATAGGCCTTTTGTGTACATATAAAAAAAGTCTTAGATCTTTGAGTTCAGCTCATGAAAAATGGGGGCAAAAACAAAAGTGTTGCGTTTATAATTTTGTTCAGTGTAGAGTAGGAAATGTTACAAGTGGCGCAGATGATGTATAGGTTAGGTAGTAAAGGGATAAGGACATAGAGAAGATTGGCAGCAGCAATGGCTACTGAAAGAGGAATGGGATACAGATACTGAGACAGGAAATGATAAGCACACATGCAAGCAATATTTGTAATGAGAAAGTGATAAGATTTGGATAGATTTGTTCAATATAAACCATCATTCTCAGCGCTGAGAGAGCTCTGTGTCAGTATTATGTACAGAATGAAGGCAGCACATTTTATACAGGCCAGTCACTGTCCTGACTATGACCTTGGTACAGCCTGTGTCAGCACATTGCAAGGTTTCCGTGCTGGTTTCAGTACAATATGGTTGTATCTGCTGCCCCCCTCCCACATTAACAAAAGCTGTCATAGCTACAGCCAGAGGTCTGCCCAGTGAATTTATATTTGCAAAAGTTTAAACTGGGCTTGGAGTGTAAGGGATTTATACACTAATGGTGACCTGTAAAGAAATGACAACTTACAAAATTTGTGGTTATAGTGTAAGTTTGGAAACATTGCCAATGTTTTTTTATATATTTGTTTAGTGAATAGATTCCAAATGTATGGCTGTAGTTTAGCTATTTACTGCAACATGCCTGTTTGTATGAACAACAGAAATATAGGTTGGTGTTCTCCTGCATCGTAACTGTATTGTACAATGAGTGTCCTGTAAAGGAAAACACAATACAACATAACCCCTACATCTTGCAAAAGTGGTTACATTGCCTTGGTGCCTTCCCAGAGTAAGTAGTCAAAACCATTGAAGAACGCTTTAACAATTTCTTTGGTTTCCTTAGGTACAATTTTCATGCAATGAGAATCCACTTAGCTCCACTGAGTGTGACCCTTTATCAGGTCTTGCTTAGCTCAGGGTAGACATCCAACTTCTTCTGCATCCAAGGAAACCTAGGTGAGCTGCCATACCATTCTAAAACACAGTTTGACTACTTACTCTGAGAAGATGTCAGGCCACTTCGGGTACCATACGTACTATAGCAGGCTGTACTGGTTATATTGCTGGTTGTTCTTAAATTGCTTGATTACTTACTATGGGAGGGAACCAGGGAACTCCTGCCACCTAAGGTGGCTATGGTGCCCAAAATGTGTCTTTAGCAACTCTTGCAAAATTCCTGTATAATATAAAACCTGCAATGTCCTGTATCATATAACCCCTGCGAAGTGTCTGTATCTGATAATTCCTGTGATGTGCCTGTATTTAATACCTGCAGCGTGCCTGTATCATATGCCTTTTCCAACATGCCTGCATCATATACCTCCTGCAAACGTGACTGTATCTTATAACTCCGACACATCTGTATCTAAAAATTGCTACGACGCGCCTGTATATTATAACTCCTACGATGTGCCTGTATCATATACCTCTTGTGATGTACCTGTATCTTATAACTCTGACACGTCTGTTTCTTAAAACTCCTATGACGCGCCTGTACCTTATAACTCCTACAATGTGCCTGTATCCTATACCTCCCGCGACATGCATGTATCATATATGATACAGGCATGTCACGGAAGGTATATGATACAGGCACGTCACAGGAGATATATGATACAGGCACGTCACAGAAAGTATATCTCCCGTGACGTGCCTGTTTTATATACTTCCTGTGAAGTGCCTGTATCATATACCTCCTGTGACGCGCCTGTTTCATATACCTCCCGTGACCAGGGCCGGATTAACATAGGGGCTGATGGAGCTGCAGCTCCAGGCTCATGGAATAGGCCCATTTAAAAAAAAAAAATTTTTTTTTTTTTTTTTTTTTAACACACTACTCTTAGGTTTGCCATCTGATTGGTATTTTACTGGCACAGCTGGTATTTGAGGCTGCCTGGCCGTGCCAGTATTGCAGTAATACCGGCAATACAAATGCAGGTATTTTTCTCAGAATAAACGGAAATTACTCTGCAATACCAGCTCCGGCCAGGGGTCACTGTGTGTGTAGAGAGGCAGGGATAGGAAGTTACAGCAGATCCCTGCCTCTCTCTACTACTCACTGATCCGTGGGGGAGCAGCAACACAGCACAGAGAGTCCAGACAGCAGCTCTACAGCTCAGGTAAGTGAGGTATGGGGGGGAAAGGCAGCAGGGAGACATGGGGAAACTGAGACACTAGGGGACACATGAGGACACAGACACTAGGGGACACTGAGACACTTGGGGACACTAGAAAACATGGGGACACTGATACACTAGGGGACACTGGGAGACATAGGGACATTGGGACACAGATACACTATGTCCCCATGTCTCCCAGTGTCCCCATGTCTCCCAGCCAGTGTCCCTAGTGTCTCAGTGTCCCCAAGTCTCCCAGTGTCTGTGTCCCATGTCTCTTAGTGTGCCTAGTGTCCCCATGTCTCCCAGTTTTCCTAAATGTCCCAGTGTCCCCATGTCTCACAGTGTCTCAGTGTCCCCATGTCTACCAGTGCCTGTGTTCCCATGTCTCTAAGTGTCCCTGGTGTCCTAGTGTCCCCAAATGTTTCAGTGTCCCCATGTCTCCCTGTGTCTGTGTCCCTTGTCTCTTTGTCCCCATTTCTCCCAGTTTCCCTAAATGTCTCAGTGTCCCCATGTCTTTGTGTCTCCATGTTTCCCAGTGTCCCTATGTCTGTATCCACAAGTGTTTCCCAGTGTTGACAAGTTTTCAGTGTCCTCGGGTCTGTCAGTGTCCCCAGTATCCTAGTGACAGTGAGACACTGGGGGACTGGGCGACATGGGGACACTGATCCTGTGATACATAGGGACACTGGGTGACTTGCAAGACTGAGACGCTGGGAGACAGGGAGACACTGGGAACAATCCATCTATATAGCAGAATCAACTGTGAGTAGTTTGTTGGTGATTTTACAGAATTTTCTCTTATGTGATGTCACGCATAACTAATTAATTATACAAATGATTAAGGCTGGTATTTTTTTTCCAAGAAAGGTGGCAACCCTAACTACTCTTCACATACTCTTGCTTAAAGGAGCACTATAGGGTCAGAAACACAATCATGAATTTCTGACCCTATTATGTTAAAACCACCATCTAGCCCCCCTGACCCAACTCTTGCCTCCCTAAATGCAGAGGGTGGAGACACTGAATGGCAGTACTGCACACTAGGCAGTACTGCCCCAGGAAGCACCTCTAGCAACCATTTAAGGAGTGGCCAGTGAAGTTATTTTCTCTGAAAATACAGCGTTTACTGCAAAAAGCCTGAATGGAATGATTCTACTTACCAGAACAAATACAATAAGCTGTAGTTGTTCTGGTGACTATAGTGTCCCTTTAAGTTTGGAAGCTTAAGAGGGATGTATGGGAACAAAACTTGTGTGGACTGGCTTACAATAAAATCAGTTTAGGTAATGCAGACGTTGGTCTCTCTAACACTGTGGCATGTCCCCTTTCTTCTACAGTCACTACATACACCTTTTCTCTGTCTCAGACTATATACCAGGAACTTCTGCCTGCTAGTAAGAAGGTAAGGATACAAGTGGACATGTGAGTGCTAGGGGACAGTCCTTAGAAAGCATGGAGCGAGCGCATCATTAGACACATTTATGCCAAGCTCAGGGTGCTGCCTGCATAGTATGCCCTTAGTTGGACTGCAGGATTGGCAGGCAGCCTGACATGCATTCATGCCAGGCTGTCCTTCAAATTCTTTGGAGAGACATGCCCCGTTTTTGTTCTCCCATTTTGGCAGGTCTGGTCACGTGATTCGCACCAGAAGCACACCCTTTTACCCTGCCCATTGACTTCCTGCTTCATTGGACACTGCTGTTAGGGGGTATGGATTTACTTGAAAGATGAAAGCATAAATTAGAGAGGGATTAGCATTGGGTATGTGTTTTCTTATAGCTGCATCCTTTTGAGTTTCCCTCCAGCACCATCAGATACATGACGCTTAGGAGGTATGACTATTTTAGTGTGTTTGGTCCATAAAATTCCGTAATTAGGCCCATCAAAATTGTCAGCACCAGGCCCACCGGGCTCTTAATCTGGCCCTGCCTGTGACGTGCCTGTATCATATATCTCCCGTGACAGGCATGTGTCATATACCTCCCGTGACGGGCATGTGTCATATACCTCCCGTGACGTGCCTGTATCATATACCTCCCGTGACGTGCCTATATCATATACCTCCTGTGACATGACTGTGCAATATACCTCCTATGACGTGCCTGTATCATATACCTTCTGTGACGTCCCTGTGTCATATATCTCCCATTACATGCCTGTGTTATATACCTTCTATGACGTGCCTGTTTCATATACTGCCTGTGACGTGTGTGTATCATATACCTTCTGTGACGTGCCTGTATCCTATATCTCCTGTGACATGCTTGTGTCATACACCTCCTGTGATGTGCCTGTTTCATATACCTCCTGTGATGTGCCTGTATCCTATATCTCTCATGACATGCCTGTGTCATATACCTCCTATTATATGCCTGTATCATATACCTCCTATTACATGCCTGTATCATATACCTCCTGTGATGTGCCTGTTTCATATACAGCCTGTGACGCGCCTGTTTCATATACCTCCCGTGACTTGCGTGTGTCCTATACCACCTGTGATGTGTCATAAAGCACATATATATAATATCCACATATTATGGCAACATTTTGAATCTCATATTATGAAATATCAAATATTCCAATTTTACTTTTACATAGTCGTTATGTAACACAAATGTATAATACAAATGATACAAATTAAGGTAAGTCAAAGACAGGAACACAAAGGATGGGTAGGGCTGCGCCACAATACAACAATACAATATACATATATCTTTATATAGTTCTTGTGTAAGATGCTTGAAACCAAAAAAGGTTAAGAGTCAGACGCGTTCTTTACGCTTCACCAGTGTCCGTATATGCAGAGAAGGGCAATAAGAAAATGAAGAAGCCAAAAGTGCATTAAATCTCACTGGGTATAGATAAAATAGGGAATAAATGGGGTTGCACTCACATTTGGTAGCGCTTAAACCAGCTCTGGTGTGTACAGTGTACAGCAGTATGATCCACACTTAAAGGATATGACGTGGGTGTTCTTGGTGATAGAAGTATCAGGAACCCAGAATGACAGAAATAAAAGGCAACAATAGTGCTCTCAATAAAATTTTAAATAGTAAGTCAAATTAATGAGAATAGTACTCACAAAGATAGAGCAGGCTAACTGTTCTATGACGACAGCACAGGTGCATAGGTGGTATGATCGCCACCTGGGATTCTTTGGAGTAGAACAGGATAAAAATTGTAGATGCCAGGTTGATAGAAGGGTGAAATAATAAAATAATAAAAGATAGTGGCACAAGTAGTAAAGTGAACAAAATCTATTTATTAATTAAAAAACAAATTTAATATACCGTTTATACTGGAGTATAAGTCAACCCGAATATAAGTCGAGACCCCTAATTTTACCCCAAAAAACTGGGAAAACTTATTGACTCAAGTATAAGACTAGGGTGAGAAATGCAGCAGCTACTGGTAAATTTCTAAATAAAATTAGATCCCCAAAAAATTACATTAATTGAATATTTATTTTGTGTATATAATGATGCAGTGTGTGTGTGTGTGTGTGTGTATATATATAATGCAGAGTGTGTGTGTATGAATGTAGTGTGTGTAGTGTGTGTGTATGAATGCAGTGTGTGTATATAATGCAGTGTGTGTATATAATGCAGTGTGTGTATGTATGAATGCAGTGTGTATGTATGAATGCAGTGTGTGTATATAATGCAGTGTGTGTGCGTATGAATGCAGTGTGTGTGTGTGTGTATGTGATGCAGTGTGTAACCTTGGTGGGGGGGTGGGCATTTTTATTATTTTTTTTAATTATTATTATTTTAACATTATTATTTTTTTAAATATTATTATTTTAATTTTATTTGAATATTAATTAATATTTTTATAATATTATTATTTAAATTTGTATTTATTTATTTTCGTCCCCCCTCCCTGCTTGTTAGCTGGCCAGGGAGGGGGGCTCTCGTTCCCTGGTGGTCCAGTGGATGGGCTGTGTAGGAGGGGGGCTGGCAGAGAGCTGTTACTTATCTTTCCTGCAGCTCCTGTCAGCTCCCTTTTCTCTCCTCTGGTCCGGTCAGCTCCCTTCTCCTCCACTGTAATTCTTGCGGTGTGACTGCCGTGCGGACCCCGCGGCTCTCGCGAGACTTACACTGGAGGAGAAAGGAGCTGACCGGACCGGAGGAGAGAGAAGGGAGCTGACAGGAGCTGCAGGAAATGTAAGTAAAAGCTCTCTGCCAACAGGACCGCCGGGCTTGTAATGATAAGTTGCCACAATACAGACACTCACTCGAGTATAAGACGAGTGGGGGTTTTTCAGCACAAAAATTGTGCCGAAAAACTCACCTTATACTCGAGTATATACGGTACATCCAAACGCGTTTCACCATAAAATGCTTTATCAGTGGAGTAGAAGACAGTCAACCTGGCAAGATGAGGTTTATATAGGCATAAAACAAATTTAAATTGGCACCATAATGCTTTGTCCAATATAAAAACAGATAGTGTTTGTGAATAAATAACAACACGGAACATGTAGACATTAGAAGATTTAGTAATAAAAGATCAGATTATATATAATATTCTATAAAACGAGCATTATTAAGTGTTTAAGCGGCTTCAATTGCCGAAGCCCCTGATGCGCGTCATAATGATCTGGCCGCTAAGCATTATGGGGGCTGTAGTCATAAATTAATCTAGATACATTTGCAGACGTGAGAGATTGTCCCACATTGTACAACTAGGCATGGAAGTGGATTGTTCCCAATCATTAATATGATAATGGGAAGGAAGGATGAAGTTTAAAACAATGTAAATAATATATAAAAAAGACGGTCGCAGCGGCCATCTTGGTGGGGGAAGTGATGAATAGCGTAGGTCGGGCAAGCATGGTGGCCATATTGGGTGCGGAAACTAAATAGAAATCTCCAAAGTGGCAGCCAAAAAGAGAGGAAATATATAAAAACACAGTAATGTAGATAAAAAATAATAGTTGAATATAATTATAGATATATAGAAGACATGGTAAAGGGCATGGTAAGATAAAATTAGACCAAATACAGGGAACAACACACCTATTTTAATCATAGCAGAGTGTTACTTAATTATAGTAAAAAAAAAGAAATTATGGGTGTATGGAAACACTTAGTAGAAAACATGATCTATAGGCAGAAAAGAAAAAGGTGGTAACTTTAGAAAAGGTGGTAACTTTACCTGATATAATTATTAAAATCATATGACAAGAGAGAATGCATTGGTTAAATAAAATTGAACAAATCACAGTCTAAGTTGAGACCATTGGGAGTAAGAGTCTGTAGATTAAAAAAACACTCCATTTCACATTTTCCAAGGATATTTTTTATGTTACCACCTCTCCATGGGGTAATATTTTTTTTTTATACCAATACATTTTAGATGTCTTGGATCTTGGATCTTTGTTGTGTATAATGAAATATTTAGAGACCGAGTGATTGGGGTATCCGTTTGAAATGTTGCGGCAATGTTCTCGTAATCGTGTCTTGAGGCTCCTTGTGGTCATTCCAACATATTGGAGATCACAAGGGCATTCTAAAAGATAAATAACATTATTGGTATTGCAGCTGATGAAATCTTTAATGGGGTATGTTTTTTGAGTTCTGTTGCGTGTTATTCTAACGTTATTCTGGCGTGTTATTCTAACCTTGGGGGCACTGACTATAGAGTAATACTGTAGTGCTCACTGTATCAGAACTAATTATGGCCACTGCACAATATTTTATAATTCGTACACAAATTCCAAGACTCCCAAATTATCACCTCTAAGCAGCTAGAACAACACAAGCAACTAGCAGTAAGCTGACTAAAATATGAAGTCTAATGGTTTGTCTGAACACTGAAAAGTCTTAGTTTACAAAGTCAATGGCCAGTTTATATCTCCAGACAATGGACACTGGGCCTGATGCTATGGCCATGCTGATTTGGCAAGACACCGAACACGCCCAGCAATCTGCAGCAATACCGTCTTGCACAAACCCTTTGGACACATATTGCATTTTCATGGCATCTCATTTTGTATTGATTGTAATGGGGATGTTAGAGTTTTGCCATAGAAAGCAGTATTTGGAATCTGTAGCTGTGCAAAAATGCTGAGTATACTACACTGTATGGGATTATGTAGTCAGCAGATGTTTTAAAACCTATTTAATTGTTGCTCTGTAAAAAAAAAAAAAAAAAAAAAAAAGTGTGGTTCGTGGGGGACATGCTAGGGTGCCAGTTATACAAAAGGAGGAAAGAAAGAATTTCTCCTGTGATGCGTACATATTGGAATAATTAAATTTCACTAATTAAAAAGTGAAAAGAGAAAAAGAGGACCATACACAAAGATAGACAAAACACTGCTTACCTTAAAGGAAAGACTACTACTGCATTACTAAATAAATAGCTGTATGCACATCAATTAAACTGGAGAAAGAAATAACTTCCTGCATGTATAACAGATTATTACAGGTAAAACAGGTATATACTGTCACCTCGACACTTTTTTAATATAATGATTTTTTAAATCAAGTTTTGAAAGGAAATAGCCTTTTTGTTAAATGAAGTATATGTAATAAAAAAATAAATAAATAAGGAACTCATCCCTACCTTTAGTATATGACAGGATCCTTCAGCCATAAACATGGATCTTGGTACAGACAGTGTATGGATACCTCTATAGTCTCTTTGATCTCTATGGTTAGTCTCTATGGTCTTCTGAGCTTCACTCCCTGCACAGTGCAGTGACATCATCAGACCTAATAATTGTCACATTCAAACACTGCCTGACCCAAGGTGCATGTATATGGCTGAAGGATCCTGTCATATACTAAAGGCAGGGATGAGTTTTTCTCTCTTTTTTTCACATTTACTTTATTTAACACAGAATTAATTTCCTTTCAAAACTTGATGAAAGGATCATTAAATTAAAATAGTGTTGAAGTGACAGCTCCTCTTTAAAAGGTTTTAAAATTTTCACCTACCGCAGTGTTTTCTGTGCATAATCACAGATACATCATAGATCTAAGCATTGTTTTCTGACTGCCAACACACACTACAGGAGAGCCAGAGTTTGAAAGTCCTGTATTGTAAGTTTGTTCACTAAAATAACTAATTGTCCACATTGCCAATATTCCAACTAAACTGTGATTTTAGCTGATATCCGTTGAAGAATTTTCCCTATCAAATATTTTGCCTTGTTTTTTACATTCAAATCCCAGTTTGCTACAATTTGGAGTTTAGTGTATAAAACCACCCTCCTTCTTGAAGATGTTACAAGCAACCACATTAAGAAATGTGTTATATATACATACATACACACACATTTTTTTTTTTAAACTAAAAAAGCAAGATGAAGAGTTTGTGTAAGTTTGCTGAGAAAAGGCTGCCTATTATATAGGGGTAGTTAGATTTTAGTGCCAATAAATAGGTCAGTGTGCAAGAAAAAGCCACTAAAATCTTTTATCTGGCTTTTATCCTACGTAATCAGAAATAAATGCCACTAATGTTGTGTCTTGTTAGTAATTCCTGAACTGGGTAAATGTATTAAAAACTAGTCTTTATGTATCCATACAGTTCTTTGGACTGGTTCCTTGTTTGAACTCCGAAACGCCTGAAAAATCCTCTTTCAATGAATGCTTTGCTAAAGCTGGTAAAATGGAACCAAATCAACAGTTCAATGGATTTGGTCCCCTTCAACCAGCTGCAGCTGTGCATTGATCGCCCTGACACAGCTGTAGAGGACCTCCGGAGCCATCAATAGAAGACAGAGTCCATAAAGCAATGACGATGACCTATATCTATGGATCTATCATCTACTAGATCTCAAAAAGAAGGGTGGGGGAGGCACGCATGGATTGGCCCATAAAGCTTTTACATGTTGATTCTATGTAAGTGAGACTAGAAAAGATGAATAATCTCAATATTGTATGTATTTGATCAAACTATGAGTTAGAGGAGGAATGCCATTTTACATACTCACTTATGCAGGGTCCAGAGAGGGTTGGAAATAAGTCCTATATTTTACATATTAAACCTTAAAACTTGGTAAATTATTTTGCCTTGTGGATAGTTTTTTCGTGCAGAAAAGGAGATTAGGTAAATTGTGTGAAGCGCCTGTTATTATGTAAATTAAATATTGTATTCACCAACCTTCGAGGCTGATGTAGAATGGAAGTTCAAAATAGAAATAGTGATTTTCCACAACTTGTCTAAGTAAATGTCATTCACTATCGACTAAAACAGTCACCTCATATCTTCATCCTACAAGGCACGACCATAATAGACCCCTAAGATCTTCATTCTACTAGGCAAGACTATAACAGTATCCCTCAGATCTTAATCCTACAGGGCACGACCATAATAGACCCCTAAAATCTTCATTCTACTAGGCACAACTATAACAGACCCCTCATATCTTCATCCTACAAGGCACGACCATAATAGACACCTAAAATCTTCATTCTACTAGGCACAACTATAACAGACCCCTCATATCTTCATCCTACAGGGCACGACTATTATAGACCCCTAAAATCTTCATTCTACTGGACACGACTATAATAGACCCCTAAAAACTTCACTCTATAGGGCACGACTATAATAGACCTTTAAAAATTTAATTCTACATGCCACATTTATAACAGGCCCCTAATATCTTTATTATACATGCCACGACTATAACAGGCTCTTAATATCTTCATCCTAGAAGGCACAACTATAACAGGTCACTAAAATCGACTATAACAGACCTCTATAACTGTCAGCCTACAGGTGACAACTATAACAGACCCCTATAATCTTCATCCTACAGACCACGACTATAACAAGCTCTTAATATATTCATCCTAAATAGCACAACTATAACAGCTCTTAAAAACAACTCTTAAAATCTTTATTCTACATGCCACGACTGTAACAGGCCCTTAATATCTTCATCCTAAAAGGCACAACTATAACACACCCCTAGAATCTTCATTCTACAGACCACGACTATAACAGGCCCTAAAATCTTTATTCTACAGGTTATGACTATAACAGATCTCTAAATGCTTCATCCTACAGGCCACGACTATAACAGGCCCCCAAATCTTCAATCTACACGGCATAACTATAACAGACCACTAAATTCTTCATCCTACAGGCCACGTATATAACAGGCCCCTAAAATCTTCATCCTACAGGGCATGAGTATAGTATATCCCGCAGAATGAAGATCGCAGGGGCTTTTATACAACTTTAAATTCAAAGTCAAAGTTCAGGAATGGTTTGTACACTGTGGGTGTTTAGGATTCTGCACGCCATAGTAGACAAAAAAACTGAGTGAGCTTTTTATTTAATATGTATAGCAATCCTTCACATCCAGTGCTGGAACTGAAGAGATGAAGCAAAACAGAGCAGCAGGCTGGGAGTGTAAAAGGAACAAAAGCCATTCTTATAATTATAACTGTGACCTTCAAAGTGTTGCTGCGCATTACCACGGCAAAGCTCCGCGCGGCATTATCAGGCTCGCAGATAGCGAGATTTAGAGAGAGGAGCTGAAGACGCATGTGTGTTGGACTTCCTTCTAGTGCACATATTTTGGGCCAGGCTGCTCTGCCCGATTGTGTCCTCCTTGGCCCCCTCTTACCAATTGTGTCCTTCTGGCCATTTACTCCAATACTTAGTCTTTCACATTTCTCTGTCTCTCACACATATCACTTATACATGCTGTAATGCCTTGCAAAAGTCAAACTAAGCAGCAAATACATGTAATATATTGTGGATTCAGGATTGTGGATTGGATTTAGCCAAGTAAAAAATAAAATATAAAATTAGATTTTGTTCTCTAGCTGTGAAATGAGGAATTACAGGGGGAGAATGATGCTGCTGGGAGAAATGAAAGTAAAATGAGGAATGGTCTTCATCTGTGTCATACAGAGCAGAGGAGAGGGGACACTTGTTTTTTCTGTATAGTGGCCAATGGGTTAACTTGTTTATGTATTATTTATTTAAAAATGCAAAAGAAAGATTCACAAAACTAAACATTAACAATAAACATGTTCAGCTAATGGAAGATTTGTGTAAAAATTGTTGTTTTTTTCCCAAAACTTTAAATACACAGAATATCGGTATATATTATCGGCTAAATTCACAGATTATTGGTATCGGTTCTAAAAACATCAATACTGGTCGATCCCTAATCCCCAGCACCTACTGTATATCCTCAGCAATAACATGGCTTCTGTCAGATCCTTAGCCAGCAGCCAGACACTTGATTGCGTTGGACAGAATACAGCTTTATTTTCGAAAACTCTTGGTATTTATACACACTTTTCTTTAAACAGTTAACACACAACTGCCAGTCACATAGAAGCCTCGCTGGTCCTCTATTGATCCAAGGTCGCAGCATATAATAGTTCATTGTATTAAGTTGGTGCCCTTTGAGAAACCTTCCTGCATGCCTCCTATCTGATTTCTGGGTCCTGTACCACCTTAATCCGTCCCACTTTTGAACCCAACATTCATAGCACATCCCGTTCAATAGACGTGCGTGCGCTATGTTCAGGGCACTAAGACCATGCAGGGAACACTGCATGTCCTATCCTCAGTGGGCCTGTCCGAGTCATCGACAGGCAGCCTGACGTTTATTCACACCTGGCTAACCTGCTATGAACTTTGGCAGATCCCCCCCTTTGGGTCAGAGTTTGTAACATCGAGTCACTGGTCCTCATTCTCAGGACATCGGAGTTGGGAGGTATGTTCCAGGCATCAAGTTTAATGTCATGCTATGTCACGGCTGCCTGGCTATTTTACAGTTGCAAGAAAAAGTATGTGAACTCTTTGGAATGATATGGATTTCTGCACAAATTGGTCATAAAATGTGATCTGATCATCATCTAACAACAATAGACAATCACAGTCTGCTTAAACTAATAACACACAAATAATGAAATGTTGCCATGTTTTTATTGAACACACCATGTAAACATTCAAAGTGCAGGAGGAAAAAGTATGTGAACCCCTAGACTAATGACATCTCCAAGAGCTAATTGGAGTGAGATGTCAGCCAACTGGAGTCCAATCAATGAGATGAGATTGGAGGTGTTGGTTACAGCTGCCCTGCCCTATAAAAAACACACACCAGTTCTGGGTTTGCTTTTCACAAGAAGCATTGCCTGATGTGAATGATGCCTCGCACAAAAGAGCTCTCAGAAGACCTACGATTAAGAATTGTTGACTTGCATAAAGCTGGAAAGGGTTATAAAAGTATCTCCAAAAGCCTTGCTGTTCATCAGTCCATGGTAAGAAAAATTGTCTATAAGTGGAGAAAGTTCAGCATTGCTGCTACTCTCCCTAGGAGTGGCCGTCCTGCAAAGATGACTGCAAGAGCACAGCGCAGACTGCTCAATGAGGTGAAGAAGAATCCTAGAGTGTCAGCTAAAGACTTACAAAAGTCATTGGCAAATGCTAACATCCCTGTTAGCGAATCTACAATTCGTAAAACACTAAACAAGAATGGATTTCATGGGAGGACACCACAAAGGAAGCTCTGCTGTCCAAACAAAACATTGCTGCACGTTTACAGTTTGCACAAGAGTACCTGGATGTTCCACAGCAGTACTGGCAAAATATTCTGTGGACAGATGAAACCAGTTGAGTTGTTTGGAAGAAACACACAACACTATGTGTGGCGAAAAAAAGGCACAGCACACCAACATCAAAACCTCATCCCAACTGTGAAGTATGGTGGTGGGGGCTTCATGGTGTGGGACTGCTTTGCTGCATCAGGGCCTAGACGGATTGCTATCATCGAAGGAAAAATTAATTCCCAAGTTTATCAAGACATTTTGCAGGAGAACTTAAGGCCATCTTTCTACCAGCTGAAGCGTGTTGCAACAGGACAATGACCCAAAGCATAGAATGGCTTAAACAGAAGAAAATACACCTTCTGAAGAGGCCCAGTCAGAGTCCTGACCTCAACCCGATTGAGATGCTGTGGCATGACCTCAAGAAAGCGATTCACACCAGACATCCCAAGAATATTGCTGAACTGAAACAGTTCTGTAAAGAGGAATGGTCAAGAATTACTCCTGACCGTTGTGCACGTCTGATCTGCAACTACAGGAAACGTTTGGTTGAAGTTATTGCTGCCAAAGGAGGTTCAACCAGTTATTAAATCCAAGGGTTCACATACTTTTTCCACCTTCACTGTGAATGTTTACATGGTGTGTTCAATAAAAATATGGCAACATTTCATTCTTTGTGTGTTATTAGTTTAAGCAGACTGTGATTGTCTATTGTTGTGACTTAGATGATGATCAGATACCATTTTCTGACCAATTTGTGCAGAAATCCATATCATTCCAAAGGGTTCACATACTTTTTCTTGCAACTGTATTTAATATTTTAGCTTCCCTTTTGAGCTCCGAGATATTTGGTAGCTGCCTTGCTGCTGCTGCCCTTTCAGTGTAGGTTTGGTGGATTCCAGTCACAGGGGTAGGAGAGACGCACGTTAATTTTTAACGTATTGCTGCGATTTCGGTATCACAGCTACAGTAACACTTTGTCCATACGGCTGGAAAATGCACCAGAAGGGCACTTTTTGCAAAAAGCTGTTAAACAGGAAGATGTTAACAGGGACTTGTTAGCCCAGAAGAAGGGCTTGCTGTTACAGAAAACACATAGTTCCAGGTACTGTCCTTTAATAGTCCACAGTCACACTTCCTTTACACCTATAACCATTGACAGGAATATTATATACCATTTGAAAAACACAACAAAGCAGATGGATGACCCCAGCGGGACAGTATGTGGATTTGTAATTATTATTTAAAACCTTATCTTTCTGTTGGTGACCCTGCGCAAATAAAACCTGCTAATTTTACATTACCTTAATAAATTTACATGGCCTGTTTACAATGATAGCAATGCATTTGCCAGTATTGACCCCAAATTGATAAAATGACACAAGCCCTCATAACGACTATTATTAGATTATAGACTCATCCAGACAGTTAATGGCAACATATTCAGTGATGTGAGTGAACAGACAGACAAGATAATTCTTTCTGCAGGGCCAGTCATTTACCATCAAATAATCAGTCTTAGGAGGAAGGCCACACAACAAATCTCTTATATATATATACACACATATACAGGGAGTGCAGAATTATTAGGCAAGTTGTATTTTTGAGGATTAATTTTATTATTGAACAACAGCCATGTTCTCAATGAACCCAAAAAACTCATTAATATCAAAGCTGAATATTTTTGGAAGTAGTTTTTAGTTTGTTTTTAGTTTTAGCTATGTTAGGGGGGATATCTGTGTGTGCAGGTGACTATTACTGTGCATAATTATTAGGCAACTTAACAAAAAACAAATATATACCCATTTCAATTATTTATTATTACCAGTGAAACCAATGTAACATCTCAACATTCACAAATATACATTTCTGACATTCAAAAACAAAACAAAAACAAATCAGTGACCAATATAGCCACCTTTCTTTGCAAGGACACTCAAAAGCCTGCCATCCATGGATTATGTCAGTGTTTTGATCTGTTCACCATCAACATTGCGTGCAGCAGCAACCACAACCTCCCAGACACTGTTCAGAGAGGTGTACTGTTTTCCCTCCTTGTAAATCTCACATTTGATGATGGACCACAGGTTCTCAATGGGGTTCAGATCAGGTGAACAAGGAGGCCATGTCATTAGATTTCCTTCTTTTATACCCTTTCTTGCCAGCCGCGCTGTGGAGTACTTGGACGCGTGTGATGGAGCATTGTCCTGCATGAAAATCATGTTTTTCTTGAAGGATGCAGACTTCTTCCTGTACCACTGCTTGAAGAAGGTGTCTTCCAGGAACTAGCAGTAGGACTGGGAGTTGAGCTTGACTCCATCCTCAACCCGAAAAGGCCCCACAAGCTCATCTTTTATGATACCAGCCCAAACCAGTACTCCACCTCCACCTTGCTGGCGTCTGAGTCGGACTGGAGCTCTCTGCCCTTTACCAATCCAGCCACGGGCCCATCCATCTGGCCCATCAAGACTCACTCTCATTTCATCAGTCCATAAAACCTTAGAAAAATCAGTCTTGAGATATTTCTTGGCCCAGTCTTGACGTTTCAGCTTGTGTGTCTTGTTCAGTGGTGGTCGTCTTTCAGCCTTTCTTACCTTGGCCATGTCTCTGAGTATTGCACACCTTGTGCTTTTGGGCACTCCAGTGATGTTGCAGCTCTGAAATATGGCCAAACTGGTGGCAAGTGGCATCGTGGCAGCTGCACGCTTGACTTTTCTCAGTTCATGGGCAGTTATTTTGCGCCTTGGTTTTTCCACACGCTTCTTGCGACCCTGTTGACTATTTTGAATGAAACGCTTGATTGTTCGATGATCACGCTTCAGAAGCTTTGCAATTTTAAGAGTGCTGCATCCCTCTGCAAGATATCTCACTATTTTTGACTTTTCTGAGCCTGTCAAGTCCTTCTTTTGACCCATTTTGCCAAAGGAAAGGAAGTTGCCTAATAATTATACACACCTGATATAGGGTGTTGATGTCATTAGACCACACCCCTTCTCATTACAGAGATGCACATCACCTAATATGCTTAATTGTAGTAGGCTTTCGAGCCTATACAGCTTGGAGTAAGACAACATGCATAAAGAGGATGATGTGGTCAAAATACTCATTTGCCTAATAATTCTGCACTCCCTGTATATATATGCATATATATATTACAATTAGACATACAGTGAACTACGAGTTTACATTCATTATGGGTTTCCAATATTGAAAAATAAAATTTACCTAGGTACATTGTTAGTAATGCAAATATCACAAACACTGATATTATTAGATGCAGTGTTGATTTTGTCGAGTAACAAGTTTAATCAGATTTCAGTTGACTAAAAGTTTTGAGATTTAGTCGACTAAAACTAGACTAAAACTAAAACAATTCAGATGACTAAAATACGACAAAATTAAAATGGCTTTTAGTCAAAAGACTATGATTAAAACTAAATTGGAATTTGCTTTCACAATTGGCAGGTAAGACACATAAGGGATGGAGGAGAGGAAATTACATACATGGATGCTGGGGGATTTAACCCCTTAAGGACACATGACATGTGTGACATGTCATGATTACCTTTTATTCCAGAAGTTTGGTCCTTAAGGGGTTAAACACAATGGGGACTGGGTGAATGAGACACACGGGGGCTTAAAGAATGAGACACATCAATAGGATTGGGTGAATGGGGCAAATGAGGAGGCTGGGGGGAATGAAACACATGGGGGGCTAGGAGAATGAGACACATGGAGGGACTGGGGATAAGCACATGAAGAAGCTGGGGGAAGAATTGAGACACATGGGCAGCTGGGGGAATGAGACACGTGGGGAAGAAGAGATCCATGCAGGGGCTGGGTGGACATAAGGAGACAGAGTGGCTGGCGGAGGAAGAGATATGGTGCTGGGGGGGAAGAGACACACAAATGGGGCTATGGAGAGAAAGAGATGCACGGAGGGGCTGGGGGGATCCAAAAAAACACAAAGGTGCTGTTGAAGGGGCAAAAAAGACAGACTGGGACTTTGGGAGAGAGACACCCAGAGGGGTAAAAGAGACAGATAGATAGGCTTTAACTAAACACATTAGATTTTAGTTGTGTCGACTAAAATCTACTGGAGATTTAGTCGACTAAGACTAGACTAAAACTAAAACAATTCAGATGACTATAATATGACTAAAACAGCTTTTTAGTTACAATACTATGACTAAAACTAAATTAAAATTTGCTGCAAAAATTAACACAGATTGGATGCAGTGCTTTATTATATTATATAAGTGTAACTAAAGTAACCTCGTCACTGGCTTTTGGAGGGGCCTGTTTGCCAGCCTCCTACCCTGTGATTATGGCCGTGTGACAAGCTGAACCTCGTCATTGCCTCAGGACTATGAGCCCTGCATTATACCTTGCCCAACGCACTTTAAAAGGCTCTCTTCTTGTGAAGTATGTACTTTTGTACTCCGGACAGAGAGACCGACCGTTAGCACTAATTCTCTGGAACTGTTTTGGGCATGGGACCATGTGTACGGTGGGTCAAAAATAGGACTTCCAGGAATTTCCTGAATTCCTGTCATTTAGACGAATGGACGTTCGGTAGATAGCTGGGGTCTGAGTGCACATTTCGTGAGAATACCGCTCAGATCCCAGCCTAAACAACCGAACGCCGCACGAAAGCCCAGTGGTGTTCGCGGCGTTGAGTAGCCGATTTCGGCTCCACGTGCCCGATGCCCAAACACTGCTGGTGAAACAAAGGATCCAAGATGGCCGACCGCCGCGTGGTCGGTAGCTGAACGACGGCCACCTAGGAAAGCCTTTAACTACCGATTGCAACAATGTTGCAATCGGTTAATGAGTGCCACACGCCCCACTGTGTGTGGGCTACTGGGTGGTAGCTCATTCGTTTCACGAACAGCCGGTAAAGTCTCTGTTCGTGAAACAAAATACATGAATGCTAGCGGCTTTCAGCTGCTAGCATACGAATGCTCTAAACATAGCAGCACAGACAGATATTACAATATACAATCCAGCGGTTATTGCAGACAACCTTTTGTACATATAGTCCAGCAACCTAAAAGTGGCTAGGTTTGCCACAATGCTCCCCCAAAACCAAGCCGGCATACACAGTCTGATCCCAACGGATCGGCTTGGGGATGTCCGGGGGAGTGCCCACAGATCACTTTTCAAGTTCAGTTTGTCTAGATAACCTGTCGGCGTTACTGTTTTGTTACCCTGGGTGGTCATGGATGGTAAAGTCAAAAGGCTGCAGCGCAGCAGCCTGGCATTGTCTCCAGCCACACGGTTCAACCACACCAACGGGTTGTGATCTGTGAGCAAGGAAAAAGGTTGTCCATATAGATACGGCTGCAACTTTCTGAGGGCCCACACCACGGCCAGGCATTCTTTCTCGATGGCGGTGTAGCTCACTTCCCGTGGTAAATGTTTCCGGCTTAGATACGCTACGGGATGTTCTCCGCCATCTGCTACAACTTGGCTCATCACTGCTCCCAATCCAAACATTGAAGCGTCTGTGTGGACAAGAAATAGTTTAGTTGGATCAGGAGCAGCAAGTACAGGTGCATTAGTTAGAGCCGTCTTGAGTTGGTTAAATGCCTGATCACACTCTGGGGCCCAGACGACCTGTCGAGGAAGGTTCTTGTGGGCCAAGTCAGTCAAGGGTTTGGTCAGGGCACTGTAATTAGGTACAAACTTCCGGTAATATCCTACGGTACCCAGGAAGGCTAACACTTGGGTTTTTGTCCTAGGGGTAGGCCACTTGGCAACGGCTTCAATCTTTGCTGGTTCGGGCTTTTGTTGCCTGCTCCCCACCGGTGTCCCAAGTACTGCACCTCTGCCATCCCTATATGACACTTGCTAGGCTTCAGTGTCAACCCTGCCTCCCCTATACGGCTCCAATGTGTTGCAGATGCTCTGCCCAGGTCTGGCTATATATGGCGATATCGTCCAGGTATGCACACGCATATTCCTGAAACCCATCCAGTAGCCGATCTACCATCCGTTGAAAGGTCGCCAGGGCATTTTTCATCCCGAATGGCATGACACGAAATTGGTACAGGCCAAACGGTGTGAAAAACACAGACTTGGGGATGGCATCCTCGGCTAGGGGAATTTGCCAGTACCCTTTACACAAATCTATGGTAGTGAGATACTGGCCTCGTGTCATCTTGTCCAGCAGCTCGTCTAACCAGGGCATTGGATAGGCATCAGACACAGTTTTGTCATTTAGCCTCCGGTAGTCGACACAAAAACGTGTCGTGCCATCCTTCTTGGGTACTAGCACTAACGGCGATGCCCAGGGGCTATCGGAATGTTCAATAACCCCTAGCTGCAACATCTCCTCAATCTCCTTCCTCATATGTTCCCTGACTGCTTCAGGGATACGATATGGGGTCTGCCGCATAGGTAGCTGTCCAAGGGTCTCAACTCGGTGAGTGGCCAGCGGAGTGTACCCAGGTAAATTGGAGAAGGTGGCACCTTTAGCCGCAATCAACTCTTGCACCTGGGCCCGCTCCTGAGGGCTTAGCCGCTCCCCCAGTTGAACACCCGTGGAGGATTCTGCCTGGTCGTCCTGTTCTAATAGGTCAGGTAGTGGCAGGTTCTCCTGATACTCAGAGGCTGAGGCGCATATTGCTGCCACGTTCTCTATCCTCTCATGATAGAGTTTGAGCATGTTCACGTGGAGCATGCGTCTTTTCCCCACCCCTGAGCAGGGGCCAATTACATAGGTGGTGTCACATCTCTGTTCCACCACCTGGTATGGGCCTTGCCAGATGGCCTGCAGCTTGTCTGTGCGGACAGGTTTTAAAATCAAAACCTTCTGTCCCACTTGAAAGCTGCGGTCTCTGGTTCCCCTATCATACCAGCGGCGCTGGCGTTGTTGGGCCGCTTGGAGGTTGGTGCGTACGGCCTGGGTTAATGCCTCCAAGCGGTCCCTGAACTCCAGCACGTATGGTACAATGGGTGTCCCATCTGTATTACTCTCCCCCTCCCAGTGCTCTCGAATTAAGTCTAATGGCCCTCGCACCCTTCTCCCAAACAGCAATTCGAAGGGGGAAAATCCCGTCGACTCTTGGGGTACCTCTCTATATGCGAATAACAGATGGGGTAGGAATCGCTCCCAGTCTTTATGAGCCTCTCCAAACGTACGGAGCATCTGCTTCAGGGTACCGTTAAACCTTTCGCATAACCCATTGGAATCGGGGTGGTATGCAGAATTCACTATAGGCTTAATGCCACATATCTTCCAGAGTTGTTGGGTGACCTCGGCGGTGAACTAGGTACCCCTATCGGATATGATCTCCTGGGGGAACCCCACCCGGGAGAATATTTTCATTAAGGCCTCGGCCACAGTTTCCGCATGAATATTTGAGAGGGCTACAGCTTTGGGGTACCGGGTGGCGTAGTCCACTACGGTTAAAATATACTTCTTGCCCGAGGGACAGGGCTTGGGCAAGGGGCCTACTATATCTACGGCCACCCTACTAAAGGGTTCTTCAATGATGGGCAGGGGGCATAATTTGGCCATGTGGCGGTCACCCCTCTTGCCCACTCGCTGGCAAATGTTGCATGACTGGCAGTACTGCCGCACATCTGTAGATATCCCTGGCCAGAAAACGGTGTGGGTAAAACGGTATCGGGTGCGTGTCATCCCCAGATGCCCAGACAAGGGAATGTCGTGAGCGATCCTAAGCAGTTCTTGCCTATACTTTTGGGGAACCACTAGCTGTTTAGTCGTCACCGTGACCGACCTCCCCCCCACTACCCTTTCGGCAATACGATATAATAACCCTTTCTCCGAGGTATACCGCTCCCCCTCTAATCTGGCCTGGTCTGTGCTTATCCTGTCTTGTACACCTGTAACGTGGGGTCTATCTTCACCTCCGCCTCAAATTTAGTTGGGGTATCCCAGGTCATACGTGTCGTGTGAGGGTCACTGTCTCTTACCTGAGCCTCAGAGTGTACTGGTGGAACCATGGTGCGAGCCTGTTGTCTTGTGGTCACTGGATGGGCTTCCTGGTGTGGAGCCTGGGGTATAAAAGCAGAAGTCATCCAGCCCAGGTCGTTCCCCAATACAACATCCGCGGGTAACTTCTGCATCAGGCCCACCTCTACCATCCCCTACCCAACACCCCAATTCAAATGTACTTTGGCAGTGGGTAGTCTGTACACTGCTCCCCCTGCAACTCGTACTGCCACGGATCCGCCGGTGTGTGCTGAACCTGGAACCAAATGGTGTGCTACCAAAGTCAGGGTGGCTCCTGAATCCCGGAGCCCTTGTACTTCTTTCCCCTCCAGAGTCACTAGCTGGCGATGATGTTGCCTGTTGTCGGTGGCTTGAACGGACATCACCTCGTGCAGTATCCCCAGGGGTTCTTCGGCCTGAGTGCTCAGTATCTCCTGGGTGGCTGGCTCCGCTTGGTAGTGGTGAGCGGCTGCCCTGGGTGCTGGGTTTGGCCGCACTTGGTTCCACGCTTGCTGGCTCCGGTTCTGAGTGCACTCCCTTGCCATGTGGCCCCATTGCCTGCATGTATGTCATTGGATATTGGCCCTGCCATTATATCGGGAGGGTGAAGGTTGGCTCCCCGGGAGTTGGTGTAAAAGGGGTTGCTGTAGAGGCTGTAGGGGTAGCTGTACTTGGTTGAACGGTGGGTCAAGGGTAACCTCTGTTTAGGTGCCTGTGATGTCTCCTTGCATCAAAATGTTGGTCCGCTAGTCGGGCCGCTTCGGTTAGGGTGAGGCGTTTGCGGTCTCTCACCCATTCTTGTGCCTCTGGAGACAAGCCATTAAAGAATTGTTCCAACAGCATCAATTGCCGTAACTCCTCCATAGTGGTGGCTTGGCTCGCTTGTATCCACCCCTGTGATGCTTGGTCCAGCTTGTGGGCCCACTCGGCATGAGAGTCTCTCAGGTTTGCGCAATCCCCTAAACTTGCGCCGGTATGCCTCCGGGGTAATAGCATACCATGCTAGTATGGCCCGTTTTACTTTGTCATAATCCTTGCTGTCTTCCCTGGGTACAGCGCTACAGGCTTCTGCTGCCCGACCTGACCGTTTGCCTGCTAGTAACGGTACCCATACTGCCTGCTCCAAATCATGTAAATCACACAGCCTCTCGAAATCTTGCAGGTATCCATCAACCTCATCCTTCTCTTCACAAAACATCTTAAAAGCATGGTATGGGATGTTGGGCTTTACCTGGCTGTAGACTGAGGCAGTAATGGATTCTGCCCTGGACGGTGCCTCCTGTGGACGGTGTGCCATCACATACTCCTGCACATCCGCCATCAGCACGGTCAGTATTTCCAGGAGCACTGGCTGCGGTAGAAACTCCATCCTGGTTCTCATTTCTTTTTGGTATGGGGTTTCTTCCATGGCTGGTGGGGTTGAAACGCTTCGGGCTCTGTCTCCCTCCATCAATTCGGCAATCAGCACCGCTTTTGGCTTATTGCTGGCTATCTTCCCACTGGCTTCCAGCAGTTCCTTTAACGTCTGCCTTTTTAATGCAGTGTAATCCGTCTCCATTCACTTTTGTGTTCGGTTCTCTCCTGCATCCGAATTGCCATTCACTTTTCCCGTTCGGTAGTTTCAATTTATCCGAACGCCGCGTTTCGGCTGTAAGGTTGGATCCCGTCGCTTGCCACCAATTGTAGCTCACCAAGAGCTGCAATATTAAATCCCAAGATCTCCGCTGGTACAGAAGGTAATCCAAAGTCAAGGCTGAAAAGTAAGGCAATATCCCAAATCCCCCAGTAACCGGACGAAACACAGTTCTGGGAGTCAACTGAGGTTTTTATTCACAGGTCACAGTATTTATGCAGGTCCCCATGCAAGGGGTTTCCCTACTGACATTGCAGGGGTTATACAGTAGGGGACTACATGGGGGACTTAGCAATCTGGACATTTCTCCCATCAGGCACTGCTGGACGAGAGGGATACTCCCACTGGAATATACCGTTAAGTGGATTATCCCTCCGTGCAGCAGAACCGTCATTTTACATTAAAATACATAACTTTGCCAATATTCCTGTCATTTAGACGAATGGACGTTCGGTAGATAGCTGGGGTCTGAGTGCACATTTCGTGAGAATACCGCTCAGATCCCAGCCTAAACAACCGAACGCCTTACGAAATACACTTTAACATTGTGTTCGCCTAAAAATACCAAACACCGATGGTATGGGAACCATAATAGCGAAAAACCGGAAGCCCAACGGTGTTCGTGCCATCGAGTAGCCGATTTCGGCTCCACACGCTCAACGACCAAACACCGCTGGTGAAACAAAGGATCCAAGATGGCCGACCGCCGTGTGGTCGGTAGCTGAACGACGGCCACCTGGGAAAGCCTTTAACTACCGATTGCAACAATGTTACTAGGTGGTAGCTCATTCGTTTCACGAACAGCCGTAAAGTCTCTGTTCGTGAAACGAAATACATGAATGCTAGCGGCTTTCGGCTGCTAGCATACGAATGCTCTAAACATAGCAGCACAGACAGATATTACAATATACAATCCAGCGGTTATTGCAGACAACCTTTTGTACATATAGTCCAGCAACCTAAAAGTGGCTAGGTTTGCCACAAAGAGGTCTACCGACTGGGAGCTAGATCCTGGTCTTGGGTCCAGGGTGGTTGGAGGACGGCAAGTCCCCAACCAAGCTGCGGCGGTTCGTGGGGTTTACGGTGGTTATGGTGTTCCAGTGCAGTACTTATGGTACTCGCAAGTACTAGGAAGCAGCGATTGACAGAGGTACCCGTTGGAGGCGGTCTGTCACAATAAGAAATTAATATATAAATACATGCTGCAAGCATGATGCATTTATTTACACAAAACAGGAACTGTGGAAAGGTGACAAAGAAATTGCAGATTTTGAGCCAAAATAGTTAAACTAAAAAAAATTATTTTATTTATTTATTGTCTTGCTTAATTTCCCTGTTTATTTCCCACAATTCTGGGTTTAGTGAATAATCCTAGGTGTTTCTGCTTTGCACGCTTATTTCAGGCAGGCCACTGATTGCTCTGTTTAGAGTTTACAGGCTGTAAATTGACATCTCTTCGAATGTGGCCAAAGTTCCAGAATCAGGAAGGATAATTGGTGATCCCAGCCCTCCGCACTCTATCCTTCCATACCTCTCCCTTTGTAATCTCCATGCTGAAATTTCATATCTATGGGAGGCAGACAGCGCCAAAAACCACACTTAATAATGACTTGTCTAGGTAGCCATAATTAAGCTACTTAAAGGACCACTATAGGCACCCAGACCACTTTAGCTCAATGAAGTGGTCTGGGTGCCAGGACACCTTGTTTTAACCCTGCAGCTGAGAACATTGCAGTTTCAGAGAAACTGAAATGTTTACATTGAGGGTTAATCTAGCCTCTAGTGGCTGGTTTCTCAGTGTGAAAATCACATTGAACTCACACTGGACATCCATCGGGAAAGCATTGAGTAATCTGGCCTCGCATGTGCATTCGGTTCCACTCGGGAGCTGACGTCGCAGGGGGAGAAGAGGTCACCCCTTCAGCCCAGCGGTAGGGGGGCTCCAAGGGAGTGGGGACCTAATAACCCTATAATGCCAGGAAAACGAGTTTGTTTTCCTGGCACTATAATGTTCCTTTAAGTAAATATCTAACAGAGAAAGCTGAAGCATCATAATTAAAGTCAGTGAGAAATGAAATGCAGAGATCAAGAGCACGTTCTGTTCTGTTAGCTATCCCATCAACCAATTCAGTCTGCACCTTCCCACAAACTATCCCATTAGCATCTTCATAGTCTTCACCTTACCACATACTATCCCATCAACCAATTCAGTCTGCACCTTCCCACGTACTATGCCAGAACTCAATTCACGGTCTGCACCTACCTACATACTATCCCATCAACCAATTCACGGTCTGCACCTTCCTACATACTATCCCATTAACCAATTCAGTTTGCACGTTCCCACATACTATCCCATCAATCAATTCAGTCTGCACCTTCCTACATACTATCCCATCAGCCAATTCAGTCTGCACCTTACCATACTATCCCATTAACCAATTCCCAGTCTGCTTCTTCCCATATACTATCCCATCAACCAATTCAGTCTGCACGTTCCCACATACTATCCCATCAACCAATTCAGTCTGCACTTTCCCACATATTATCCTATCAACCAATTCAGTCTGCACGTTCCCACATACTATCCCATCAATCAATTCATGGTCTGCACCCCCCTACATACTATCCCATCAACCAATTCAGTCTGCACGTTCCCACATACTATCCCATCAACCAATTCATGGTCTGCACCTTCATACATACTATCCCATCAGCCAATTCAGTCTGCACCTTACCATACTATCCCATTAACCAATTCCCAGTATGCTTCTTCCCACATACTATCCCAATCAATTAATTCAGTGTCTGCACCTTCCCACATACTATCACATGAATAAATTCAGAGTCTGCACCTTCCCACATACTATCCCATCAGCCAATTCAGTCTGCACCTTCCCACATACTATCCTATTAACCAATTCACAGTCTGCTCCTTCCAACGTCCTATCCCAGAACTCAATTCAGAGTCTGCACCTTCCCACATACTATCCCATCAACCAATTCACAGTCTGCCCCTTCATACATACTATCCCATTAACCAATTCACAGTCTGCTCCTTTATACATACTATCCCATTAACCAATTCACAATCTGCACCTTCCCACATACTGTCCCATTAACCAATTCATAGTCTGCTCCTTCCCACGTACTATCCTAGAACTTAAATCACAGTCTGCCCCTTCATACATACTATCCCATTAACCAATTCACAGTCTGCACCTTTCCACATACTATCCCATCAAGCAATTCACAGTCTGCTTCTTCTCATGTACTATCACAGAACTCAATTCAGAGTCTGCACCTTCCTAAATGCTATCCTATGAGCCAATTCACAGTCTGCGCCTTCCTACATACTGTCCCATCAACCAATTCACAGTCTGCGCCTTCCTACATACTGTCCCATCAACCAATTCACAGTCTGTTTCTTCTCACGTACTATCTGTCATGGAGTAAGACTTCCGAGTTCGGCACTCAGCTGTGAGGAGCCGGACCCCGCCCCCCTCTAACACAGCTCTGACTGTATTTAGGGAGACTGGGCCAAAGAGAGGGTGCTTGGTGATTGTGTGTGAGCTGCCTCTGCGAGCTCCACAGGCTCAGCTACTGGGAGCTATTTCCACCAGACTTACCTCTCCACAAGCTCAGACAAGCCGTTCCAGCCTTTGAGCCAATGCAAGGATTGCTGCATGCCATAAAGGATTACTGGAGAACGGATACTTTGCTACTTTACAAGTGGACCATATCTCTGAACTATTGGAGGACTACACATATTAACCTTAAGTATATCTTTCAGCTATCTGTCTACAATATCCTTTAATAATGAACTAATGCTTGCTTACTCAAATCTTCACTGCTTCAAGCTACTATGGAGGACAACTCCCATCATGTTTATTCACTATGAACTGTTTCTTGCTTTGCAAAGACACTCAATGCTACAAACTACTAATCATATGGAGGACAACTCCCATCATGTTTATTCACTATGAACTGTTTCTTGCTTTGTAAAGACACTCAATGCTTCAAGCTACTAATTATATGGAGGACAACTCCCATCGTGCTTATTTACTATGAACTGTTCTTGCTTTGCAAATATTCTTAGCTACTTGCTTAAAGTTACTATTGAAGATTATTCTCATTTACCTAAAGAATGTTACTTAATGCATCTCTAAGGAAATAATTAATAATGAACTTTGTTGTTGATAAGTTGCACTTCTTCTTATTGGATTATTGCCTAAATGCAATTCATTTAAGTTTAACACTTATTAAAACTTTGGTTGAATCAAGTTACCGGTGATTCTCTTTTTTTTTTCCCTTAAAGCTACAGTATTGATACTTTAAAGATTCTCCGTTTCTTCACAATTGTAATTAGGGAGTTTTACAAGCTGCAGTTGAGTTCCAATCCAATTCACCCAAGTAGCGTAACACTATCCCATAACTCAATTCAGAGTCTGGACCTTCCTAAATGCTATCCTATGAGCCAATTCAGTCTGTGCCTTCATACATACTATCCCATCAGACAATTCACAGTCTGTGCCTCCTACATGTATGTGTTTTGAATGCTATAGTGTTCCTTTAAGGTGAATGAGAATCTGGCACCAATTGTTTGCAAAAATATGATGTGGTTTTGGCATGGCTGCGCTGCACAGCCGTATTTATTTGTATAGCTACATTGCAGCAACCTCAAGAAATGAGTGAGAAATTTAAAGTGAGTTACACTCCAAGGTAATGATATAAATACAGATTTTAAAATAGTGAAATTCAGAAACTATTACCAAATCCAGTGGCTGGGGGGCAGGTAAAGGTGAGCGTTTTCTAACCTGAACCTGTCCCTCGTGGGCACGGACATCTTCCTCCGGCTGGTCCTATTCACTCTGCGTGTGGGAAAATACAGCACTTAGGTCTACAGTGGATACCAGGAGACCCTCCATAAACAGCTCCAAATCCCTGCAGCAGGGGGCACTGGCATTTCTAGATGGTGGTAGCTCTGTCCATACTTGGAATAGGATATGTCTTGACTGGTTTAGAATTTCAGTGAAATTCCAACACTGTCAAAATGAGTATTTCATACATTTTCATCTATTTTTTTTATTTATTTTTTTTATTAAATATTCATTTTTTGGAGGGGGAGGGAGGCGACAGTGGCACTTTAATGTAAAAATGCAGTACAATAAAAGTCAAATATATCCCTAGATCATGGAATTTGTTATTGTCAAACGAAACCTAAAACAAATAACAAATAAGCAGAGACCTGTAAATAGTGGATTACATATTGTGATCTTTACAAAAGTAAAACAGAGTATAGTAAATACTGGTTTACAATATTTCCCATGTGATACTTTAAATGCACAAGTTTTTAAATCGCGTAAGATTTAACTCAAAATAAAATCTTCCACGCATTGACCGATTTATCGGTTTTACCGATATAATCTGCCGATATTCTTTTGGCAATATCGGTATCGGCCAATTCAGATAATACCTCCTAGGACCGCCAGGCTCATTACAAACCCGGCGGTCCTGGGGGGGCGGGCAGCAAGCGCTCACTCACCTCCCTCCAGCTCCCCAGTGTAACTCTCGCGAGACCCGCGAGACTTACACTGGGGAGCTGCTGAGAGGTGAGTAAGCGCTTGCTGCCCGCCCCCCCATAGTTCAGCCAATGCCACTGGACCACCAGGGAATGCTATATCACCCCTCCCTGGCCAGGCAACAAGCAGGGAGGGGGGACAACAAAAATAATTAAATATAAAAAAATAATTTTAATTTAAAAAAAGGCCCCCTCACACACACTCCATTATATACACTACACAAACACACTGTGTAAATAAGGCAGTGTTTGCATAGTGTGTTTTTATATAATGCACATTACACAAACACACTGCATTATATTCACACTACACAAACACTGTATATATAATGCAGCGTGTTTGTGTAGTGTGTGTATATAATGTAGTGTGTTTATATAATGCACATTACACAAACACACTGCATTATATACACACACTACATTCATTATACACACACTACACAAACACACACACTTTGTATTTAGTATATACAGCATTCACTTTACACACACTAGACAAATACACACTGCATCCACTACACTCACTAGACAAATACACACTGCATCCACAACACACACATACTACACAAACACACACTCCATCCACTACACAAACACACACAGCTCCCCTGAGTGTGAGAGTGGATATATATTTATTGTAACTTCAAAATAAAACTATATATTACAACTGCCACCCAAATAAACATATAGAGCAATGAAAGAAGTAGAGCAAGCATGTCAAACTCGCAGCCCGCGGGTTGCATACTGCCCACAATAAATATCTTTACGGCCCAGCGAGCCGTGAGTTTGACATGTTAAGGCAGAGTAGGCACCTGCTCTCCCCACATTGCAGGTGCCTACTCTATTAAAATGTACCCGGCCGGGGAGTAGAGGTCGCTGGAGGCAGTGAGGGAGCTCAGTCTGTTCTTCATGCTCCTCACTGCTCCCTCGCGCGCAACCTCTAGAGTGATGTCGGGTGCCGGAATATGACGTCATTCCGGTCTGGCATCACTAAACTGCGCGAGTCAGGGAGCAGTGAGGAGCAGGAAGGGAGACCCCAGGGAGAGGCTACACACCAGCTCCTAAAGGTAGGGAGCCATAAATAAAATGATTTGTGAGTGTGTGCAAGAATGTGTGTATGTGTGCCAGTCAGTGAGTGTGTGTGTGTGTGTGTGTCTGTGTCTCTGCCAGTGCGTGTGTCTGTCAGTAAGTGTGTGTTGGTCAGTGTTGCGATGGCCATGCCTGGACAGTGGAGGACCTGGAGGTGCACAGAAACATGCAAAGCCACGTCACATTCAGACGTGACGTCAACGTGCTCCACCTTCACAGGATTTCAAGGAGTAGCGGGAGGATCCGCTTTGGCACAGGGTGCAGATGTTGCCATTGGTGGTATACCAGAGGCTGGACTCCGGAGATGCATACTGGCAGCGGCAAGGTGAGTGGAGTCTGCTTGTTGGCTCATAATTATTATTTTTTTTAAACAGGGGCCGGGGTTTAGTAGAGAGGGGTGCTGTGATTTAGTAGAGTGGGGAATGGGATTTAGTATAGAAAGGAGGGACTGGGATTTAGTCTAGAGGGGGGACAGGTTTTTAGTATAGAGGGGGGGCTAGGGTTTAGTAGAAGGTGTGTTGGGGTTTAGAAGAGGGGGATGCTGAATAACTCACATTAACTTAAACCTTGTTTATTTGGTCCGTGCTAGCCTTTGCATTTGACATGCTTGAAGTAGAAGGATGCAGCTGTTAGGCCTGAGTAAAGCTTTTGATGACATTAAATAGAAGCAGTAATGTGTCAGCAATCATGGTGTCTGTGACAAACTCCTCTTCGCACATGAGTTTGCCACAAGCTCCTGGAGGAGCCTGCTTGCCAGCCTCCTGCCCACAGACTATGGGCCTTGCAGGGAAACCTGTAAAAGACAGTTTAAATGGCTTGGTTCATGTAATTTTCCTATACCGTTCGGGAACCGAACAATCTCACAACCAGGGACCATCAAAGAGCTTGTTAACCCCTATTAACATCTTGTAACAGTGTTCTAATAATCCGTCTGGGTGGCTGAAATTCGTATGAACGACCACGAGGTGGCGGCCATCTTGTTCGCATGAATGCAGGCAGCGGTGTAGACGAGTTCATGTAACTAAAATCGGACACTGAAACTCCTGAACACTGCTGGACTTCCATCATTGTATGCGTTCGGTTCTGTAGATCCTAAAAGAACACTGTTCAGTGCAATCGTTCTTCTAGATGAAGGGAACAAGCTCCATGGTTCAAATAGAGACTAAGTTCGGTATTTTATTCGTTTCTATGTTACCGAAGTTGACAGACTGCTAGCACTGATATAATGGAACTATTTGGGGTTTAAGCCACATGTGCAATCGGTCAAAAACGTGACTTCTATGAAAAACCCAAACCCCTGAAACGATCTGGGTGATTCTTTTTGATATGTTGGTCACACAGATCGGGGCTATCAGGGGATGTGACTTTTGTGGGGTTTTCATGTATTTTATGTCTATTTTGAGGTGTTGTAAATTGTTATTTTTTTTGTCCCTGAGAGATAATTAACTTGTAAGTGTTTTCTCAGGTAATTATCTCTCAGGCACAGAGGAACCTGGGAGGAATTTCCCTGTTGTTTTGTGTGGGAGACCCCTTGTAGGGACTATTGTATAAAAGCAAGTCATCTGGCCATATTAAAGCATTCCAGCTTTTACTCCCAGAACTATGTGTCGTCTATTTACTGGTAGGGGAAAGGGAAAATTACTGTTTCAGCTCGTTTCAGTGTGGAGGATTCAGCGTGGAAAGTCCTTGTAAGGACTACAGCTCCCAGGACTGTGTGTCGTCCAGTCCCTGGGAGTGGATAGAGCTAGTCCCCGAGCCTGCTCAAGGATGGAGAGGTTCCAGGACCCCAGTCAAGTCACAGCGACTGGGGGGCAGAAGTGCTGCGGTTTGTCCCATTCCAGCTAGGAAGTGGTCCTTGGCGGAGGTACTCAGCCAGGGTACAGGGAGCTCTGTTACAGTGTCAATACAAATCACACCAAATCCTCATGAGCTGGCAAAGAAATGCAAACTTTAGGTAGCAAATTGTAGAAGAAGAATGTCCACTGACAAAGAAATGATCAGTCTATAATTTTAATGGTAGGTGTATTTTAACAGTGAGAGACAAAACAACAAAAAAAATCCAGAAAAACACATGTCAAATAAGTTATACATTGATTTTCATGTCAATGAGTGAAATATGTATCAGCAAGATTTCTGGCTCCCATGTGTCTTTTATACAAGTAACGAGCTGAGATTAGGAGCACTCTCTTAAAGGGAGTGCTCCTAATCTCAGCTCGTTACCTGTATAAAAGACACCAATCCACAGAAGCAATCAATCAGATTCCAGACTCTCCACCATGGCCAAGACCAAAGGGCTGTCCAAGGATGTCAGGGACAAGATTGTAGACCTACACAAGGCTGAAATGGACTACAAGACCATCGCCAAGCAGCTTGGTGAGAAGGTGACAGCAGTTGGTGCGATTATTCGCAAATGGAAGAAACACAAAATAACGGTCAGTCTCCCTCGGTCTGGTGCTCCATGCAACATCTCACCTAGTGGAGTTTCAATGACCATGAGAACGGTGAGGAATCAGCCAAGAACTACACAGGAGGATCTTGTTAATGATCTCAAGGCAGCTGGGACCATACTCACCAAGAAAACAATTAGTAACACACTACGCTGTGAAGGACTGAAATCCTGCAGCGCCTGCAAGGTGCTCCTGCTCAAGAAAGCACATGAACAGGCCTGTCTGAAGTTTGCCAATGAACATCTGAATTATTCAGAGGAGAACTGGGTGAAAGTGTTGTGGTCAGATGAGACCAAAATCAAGCTCTTTGGCATCAACTCAACTCGCCATGTTTGGAGGAGGAGGAATGCTGCCTATGACCCCAAGAACAGTATCCCCACCGTCAAACATGGAGGTGGAAACATTATGCTTTGGGGGTGTTTTTCTGCTAGGGGGACAGGACAACTGCATCAAAGGGACGATGAATGGTGCCATGTACTGTCAAATCTTGGGTGAGTACCTCCTTCTCTCAGCCAGGGTACTGAAAATGGGTCGTGGATTGGTATTCCAGCAAGACAATAACCCAAAACACACAGCCAAGGCAACAAAGGAGTGGCTCAAGAAGAAGCACATTAAGGCCCTGGAGTGGCTTAGCCAGTCTCCAGACCTCAAAACCATAGAAAATCTGTGGAGGGAGCTGAAGGTTCGAGTTGTCAAACGTCCGCCTCGAAACATTAATGACTTGGAGAGGATCTGCAAAGAGGAGTGGGACAAAATCCCTCCTGAGATGTGTGCAAACCTGGTGGCCAACTGCAAGAAACGTCTGACCTCTGTGATTACCAATAAGGGTTTTGCCACCAAGTACTAAGTCAAAGGGGTCAAATACTTATTTCACTCATTGACATGCAAATCATTTTGACATATGTTTTTCTGGATTTTATTTAGTTGTTTTTTGGTTACTCTTTCTCTCACTGTTAAAATACACCTATCATTAAAATTATAGACTGATCAATTTTTTGTCGCTGGGCAAACGTTCAAAATCAGCAGGGGATCAAATACTTTTTTTCTCACTGTATATAAATAATAAAATAATAATAGGCATGTCAAGAAGAGATGGCTGGTATGACTAGCATGGGTGCATTAACCCCTTAAGGACACATGACATGTATGGCCTGTTATGATTCCCTTTTATTCCAGAAGTTTGGTCCTTAAGGGGTTAAAGGACCACTCTAGGCACCCAGACCACTTCAGCTTAATGAGGTGGTCTGGGTGCCAGGTCCAGCTAGGGTTAACCCATTTTTTCATAAACATAGCAGTTTCAGAGAAACTGCTATGTTTATGAATGGGTTAAGCCTTCCCCCTAATCCTCTAGTGGCTGTCTCATTGACAGCCACTAGAGGTGCTTGCGTGCTTCTCACTGTGATTTTCACAGTGAGAGCACGCAAGCGTCCATAGGAAAGCATCATGAATGCTTTCCTATGTGACCGGCTGAATGTGCGCGCAGCTTTTGCCACGCGTGCGCATTCAGCCCAGGAGGAGGAACGGAGGAGGATCGGAGGAGGAGAGCTCCCTGTCCAGTGCTGGAAAAAGGTAAGTTTAACCCCTTTTCCCCTTTCCAGAGCCGGGAGGGAGGGGGTCCCTGGGGGTGGGGGCACCCTCAGGGCACTACAGTGCCAGGAAAACGAGTATGTTATGTTTTCATGTAGACGTTTCACAGACGAGTTTGGGCGGACTGTCCAAGTTATTTCCGTAGGGTGGATATAGGGAAGGCTTTCATGGTTTTTTTTCTTGTATTATTTGACTTCTGTTAGATAATTCCCCCCCCCCTTTTTTTTTTTTTGTGAACAGTCAGCTGAAAGCCTGGATTAGGATGTATTTTTTTTAGTTAAGACCCAGTTCATCCTGCACTGGCTGAGCGGTTTGTGCTCATTTTGGTGGACCTCATCTCCTTCTCTTATATTCTTCAGCTGTATCTGCTTAACCAGCACCAGTCCAGTGGAACCAACAGGTGGTTTTGCACCCACAGCAAGTTTAAGAGCTCACTGGCAGTCTCAGTGGTCAGTCCAGATGGAGAGTGAAGACAGATGAAGAACATATGAACTCGGTGAAAAGATCACAGGAAGATGTAATCAGAAGTAGCAGCAAACAATCAGATTCTTCAACAGATACATGGAGAACTTGAAGGCAATTCGTCTAGGGGAGGTGACACATGGCATTAAAGAGGACAGGTTGGAATGAAGAGGCCATGTCAGTCCTTATCACTTTTTTTTCTTCTAATATATAATTGGTTTTGGTTAGGTTTTGTATTTTATTACCACGCTGTAGCAGATATTTTCTCCTGATCTTCTCATGTGCTACACTAACAGTTGTTTATTTTTTGTAAGTTTACTAATATCACCATGTGCAAATTTTAAAGTGACAATGCATGGTGACATCAGTAAACTTGTAACAATGCAAAAAAAAACTGTGCTTTGTAAAAAAAAACTTTCATTTTATATCTTTGAGTTTCAAAATTATTTATCCAAAGCATCAATATACAGGCTTGCACTAACTTAACGTATCTGAATTGTATTACTTAATTTGGTTTTTTTTTGGGGGGGAGGAGCACATTTCATAAGGAGTGCTTTGCTAAAACATTTAAAATAAGAACATGTTGGCGCTTTATAAATAATAATAATAACAATAATAATAAATAAAATTTACTATTTTAAAATGAAATATACTCTGTTAACTTGACAATACAATAGTGTACATGTTTTCAGCATTTTTTATAATTTTATATTAAATTTGAAGATTTTACATCTAAAATAGAATTATATTTGTCTGTGCTTTCATTTAATTATTAACATTTGTAAAAATATAAATGTATTTTTTTTTTATCAGTATTATTCATACTTGCATATATTATCATATTTGTAAAGAGTCTGAAAAGGCCTGTTATGTATACTTTAAATTATTTTTAAACGGGTAAAATAGTCTCCACTCATTTTCCCTGAGAACTGGCCAATAGTCCCCTTGAGCAGGGGTACCCAACCCGTGGTGAGTGTACCTCCAGAGGTACAATCCAGTGCATGTGGGGGCACGCAAAAAACCCCCCCAAAAACGGTAATGGCAGCAGTGCAGACCACCGGGCTTGGAACCACATCATGAGCTGGTCCATAATGTGGCCCATGCACTTTGGGCCACTTGATGGTTTTGTGTCACAAAGGGCCCGGTCGTGCGATACAGCGCTTTAATGGCACAATTTGGCCCCTTCCAACCTGCCATCAGAGTCTGTTTGAGCTGGGAGGAAGTGCCTGGCACTCTATCACCTCCTCCCAGCTCAAACAGACTCTGATGTCTCGGATGGGGGAGGCGGGAGGGTGAGTGGATCAAGAGAGGAGCAAGACACCAACTCCCACCAGCCCCAGTCAACAGCAACCACCCTCCTGCTCCTACACAGTAAGAAACTGGAGGATGGCTACATTTTTACCTGTATGCGTGTTTTGGATGTCTGTATGTGTATGTATGTAGTATTAGTATGTATCTGTGCATGTATTTGTATGAGTCATTGTATCTGCATGTGTATCAGTATGTGTATGTCACGTATTCATCCGCTTATAGAAATGTGGTTAATGACATTTACTGTCCACACAGGAAAAGTTGTGCCGAGCAGCAACCTAATCCACAGAAGGGTTAATGCTGAGCAGCAATTATGCAAATGAAACCTGGTAACTGACTTTGGGGTCAAAGGCCGGTTACAGCCTATCAGAACTAAAGGAGGGGTATTTAGGCCCAGTTCTCAGCCTGCTCAGTGCCCTGTCGTGGTTTCCCTTGTGGTTGTCTGAGAGCGCGTTCCTGTTTATAGTTTTCTACCTGGTTTTTGACTTTGGCTTTGTTTATTGACTTCTCTATATTCTGGTATCCTGACTCCTGGCTTTCCTCATCGCTGTGTCCTTTCTGTGTTCCCTGACCTCGGCTAGTATTTTTGACTATTCTTTGTACGTTAAATCCGGCCATTCTAAGGACCGGTAATACGTTACTTATTTGTCATCCGTGCTGTACAGTTCTACGTGCTGGATCAAACAGTAATCCTGACATTACGACATGGCCATAGATCCTGTAGAACTGTGTCAGCACATAGCTGCTTGCGAGAGGAAATTAGAGGAGAATGATCACCGCATGGATCAATTCACTCAGGCTTTAAGTACGCTTCTCGCTAGAACGGAGCATCTGCAGCCTGCAGCGTCTCCTCCTATAGCACCTCTACCCTGTGTACCTCCACCCACTGTTAATAGGACTCCTAGCATCTCCTTATCACCATCCCTACAGTTTGATGGCAATATCCAGGAATGCAGGGGTTTTCTTAATCAGGTGGAGTACCATTTTGAGGCCTCACCAGGGTCATTCCCCACGGACAGAGCAAGAATTGGTTATCTAATGAATCAATTAAAGGGCAAGGCCCTTGCCTGGGCTAATCCGTTGTGGGAGAGTAATCGGAGCATAGCTCATAATTACCAGGAATTCCTTGCCGAATTCAAGCTCACGTTTGAGCCATTGGGTAGAGAGGATGACGCCTCCACTGCCCTAATGCACATCAGACAAGGTAACCGGTCTATCTCGGATTATGCTATTGAATTCCGTACCTTAGCTTCCGAGGTAGACTGGACTAACAATGGGTTAATCTCAGCATTCAAAAAGGGTCTCTCAGAGACTATACTAGATGAGATAGCCGCTAAAGAATTACCTAAGAGTCTTAACGAATTTATTACGTTTGTCATGCATATTGATAATAGGTTAAGACTCAGAGAAGTCACCAGAAGCAAGACCAGACGTACGGCTATGTCCCTAGCACCTCAATTCTCTAAACCTGTTTTGTCTAACCTCCCTGTACAGTCCGAACCCGAACCTATGCAGTTGGGGGTCACTAGACTGTCAGAGGCCGAAAAACAGTATAGGAGAAGGGAGGGGTTATGCCTATATTGCGGTAGAAAGGGACATATGATAACTAATTGTCCAGTGCGTCCGGAAAACTTCCGCACCTAAGAACCTTAAGGGGACAGATCTTAGGTGTGATGGAGTTGTCCTCTAACAAAAACAAAAGTAGATTCCTCCTTGAGGTATCTATTTCCCTTGATAACAAGAAGTTTTCTTGCAGTGCCCTAATGGACTCAGGTGCTGCTGGA